CAGGCATTATAGCACCTTCGATTGATATTCCCATAAAACCATTCAGGAATTTTGTTATCCATAAATCCATAAAGCCAAATTTTCTGCAAGATGTCATGGGATGTTACAGTTTGAGTCAAAATAAATGTTCCCCTAGAGTTACAACTTACTCCAACAGCTGCTTGGATAATTTCTTAGTGAATTTTGATAACGATTTTAATGTATCTGTTGTGGATCACTGTTTGTCTGACCATTACTGTATAATCCTCAATATCCGGGTATCTAAAGTGCAGTGCAATGAAGCGAATAAGTATTCAAATATTCGAGACCTTTCTGAACAGAATATACAAAACTTCAGACTAAAATTGAGTCAAGAAAGCTGGTTGGAAATGTACCAACAGTGCCTAAGCTATTGCCGACTGTCACGTATGACCACCGACGATGACGCTTGTCCATCGGGGGACCACGTCGCATGTATCGACACCCGCCTGTAAGAGAATTATTGGAGATGGTGGTGTGTAAATAGCAACGTCAAAAAATTGAGATATATCTTCCCAAACCCTAACCTCCAATTTTTAACACCTATACATTTTTATTCGAAAATGATCAGTACCGTCCGAAACGTCAAAAAAGGAAGTTTGAGCAATTTTTTTTCCTTTTTTGACCTGTTTTCCGCATCCGCTGGACAGATTTCAACAAACTACGAAGCTTTTTCATCCTTGGTATAGTGCTAACCTTGTGTAAAAATTTCATCAAAATCCGAGCCATACTTCCCAAGTTATAGGCGGCTAGAAAATTACCATTACCAGGTCTATATTTTTCAAAGCTTGTCCTGGCCTCAATGAATCATGCCCTGAAGTTTGACGAGGTACCTTATCAAGAGCCTGTCTACCAACGACAACACAAACAAACAAAGAATATCAATACCTTAGGATATAACAAGAGAGAGAGTACTAAGGACGAGCGAACGTCTCCCGTGATTAGTCCAATTATGACTGTTATCAACTAAGAAAGATAAAAGATACGGCTTCATACCAACAATCCTCTTTCAACTAAAAGCATTTTTGTATTTGTCAAAGACGAGCTTCTACTCGTACAGGTCTCTATGTTGTTTGGGAAATTTCCGTTTCTTCAAGTTTCGAATAAACGGGCAAACCGGCAAACTTCAAATTAATTGCGGATGCTTCAACAACTATTCTTGGTACTTTCCACGTGCTGTTCTCTTCCCACTTATCTCGCTTTTTCCAGTTTGTAATATCAGAAAATGCTCATAGTACAGTCATTGTAGATATAGAAGACCGCGTCAGTTACGATAGTCGTAAACGGTGTCCTGTATTCGAACAACGGTATATAAAAGTACGCCACGTTGAAGTCAAACAAGTGTAACGTAATATCTTATTTTTGGATCACCCTGTATAGATGAAAAGACGTCCCCCAAGAAATCATATACCAGGAGAGTCATAAATGGGGGTGCGACCACCCTGTATAAGAAAAAACGATTTCCGGTAGTGTCATTTCCGAAACGAATAAAAATGAAATAAGATTTGGCCTTGAACTTTTGTCCCTTTTAGCGGCTTGATGTGTTGTTTCGTCGGTCGAGAGCTTGTTGGATTTTCTCAGAGTTTTCGGAAACGCAATTTATTATGTAACTTGCGAGGAACAGAACACTGGCTGAAACGTCGCTTTTGCAGGCTGACACCGACAGCAGCTTTCCAGAGTTCAACTTTGCTCGAGCGTCAACCCATGTTATTGTCACAGCTTGTGAAAGCCTGATAGCGAAACATTCTCTCTGATCGATCTTAAACGAACTGGGCAAGTTGACTGCCTAGTATACCATAATCCCGTCCCAAGTATAAATCATTTATTTTCAATAACTGTGGGTCTATGACTTTTAGGCACAAAGGAGCATCGTGTTTATTTCCTGATTTAATCTGAGAATTACTACTTACTTATCTAGTTTGAGAGATACTTCACAAGATGCCCAACTGAAGAGCAACCTAAAAACTACCGAAGTAAATTACTTATTAAAACTTCATAGAGACTAATGTATGCATGGAATCTTCAATAGACGCAAAGAGGAGCATGGCTTGTCTGAGCAGAGGTGACTTCATTTCTAAGGTCTAGCGGGTTAAAGTCTGAGACTGAGAGATTCATTATAGCTTGCCAAGATGGTGTATTTAATACCTTGATATACCGTGGTAGGGTTATGGGTGCGGATATACCCGATGTCAACTTCAAAGCATGTCCACAGGCGCTAGATAGTGTTATACTACCATTTCGGGCACTCCTACATAGTAGACGAAACGCCTGTGTTGCCCTATGCTCGAGGGGATATTTACTGGAATTATTCGTTACCCAAACGAGTACATCTACATGTCTGATTTCCATTTATCTGTCTCCAAGATTACAAGACTGATGAGTGTCTGATGAGTACGAAACAGTGCTGTATGAGCTTGGTCGTCCACGTTAATCAAAACAGAGGGCCGCCCATGGAACGCGAGTTGTTTAAAACACGGCGAAAACAAACAAGCAAAACATTCGCGATAGGAAATTTCAACAACACGGTGACGCGCCAGCAGATTTTGCTCATTAAAACTTCGCATGTTTCACCGAAATCAGATTTCGTTTATTTTCGACGAAGTGTCCTGCCGCTACGATTGGTTACAATTTGATTTGCATCAATTTATCTGTTAGACAAATCCTAGTCGCTAACACAAGTAGCTAGACGCAGAGGCTATGTATCTATATGAAGAACAGCCAGCAACAAGGAATTTATTACAACATTTTTTAAGGTTAGGCTAGTGTTTGATCAAAATTTCATAAAAAAACAACCGTTAAAGAAAATGTAAAAGGACTAATGATGCACCCAGAAACACGTTGGGTAAACTACTAATCAAATGATCTATTTCCTCTTGGTGTATCTCATCCAAAGCTACTTGTAACTCGTGCCGAAGGGCAGCTCAAGTTTCCTCAATGATTGCATCAAAGGCAAGGTAAGGTGAACAACTTCCTCAGACGGAATTATTGGTCCCTGGCACTATGAGGAAAATGTAAGACGCAGTGACAGTGACCGGTGTGGACTTAGGGGACATTTAGTACCAATGGCACACAATTCAAGGGCATCGACGGGTGTCTTTCAACTTTCTAGTGCCAACTTTTCTAAGTGGGACACGCTGTATTTCCACTATCATCGCCAATATTGTTTTTTGCAGATTGCGCCCGCGTTAGCAAATAATTATTCGAACAAATACCGATTGTTTTTTAGCTGAGTATCCGTGCATAGGTTCACTCTAATTGCGAAACAGAGAACTAAGCTCGGTCATTTTTTATATACATATTCGTTCCGCTCCATTGCCACTAGCTGCATCATCCGCAATTAGTTCTTTTTCTGCCATTCCGATGAATAAAAAATGCAGTGTGGTTTTCACGCATCGCAAATGAAACGTCGCTCGCAATGTTTCGTCCGAATCGCAGCATGTTCATTAGTAACATAGCTTCGTTAGACGACAAACGGATAAGCATTGATAGCTGTTTCGTGCTATTCGGGAACTCATCGGCATGCTCTAGGCTTGCCCCCACGATGTACAATGAAAGCTGAGCGACTGTTCTCTATCCAGGATAAAAAGTCTAAAAAAAAAATCGAAAACTACTATGAAACAGAAAAGATATAGAGATATATACTTGTAATGTCACGTATTCCTGTTAAGGGGTGGTAGATTAGGTCAAAAGCAACCGAGTTTGTCCTATCATGTCTTATCCAAAAGTTAAGCATTTTTGGGTTATTTGAATTTTAAGTTTTTTATTTTTTATTCCGATTTTAGACGGTTAAAATTGAAAAAATTTGCTTGCTTGATTTTGAGTTTTTTGTTAACGTCGCATAGCAGACATCTCAATAGTTCATAATAAGTGATAAAATGTTGAAAAGCTACAAACGTTTTAAAATTACGCTTTTTAAATGTATCATTTTCTTTTTTTTTACTAACTTATTCGATAAAAATGCAATTTTCTGTAAAAAATCTCCTAGTTATGAAATGTGCAAATTATATAAATAATATCTATATCTAACAAGCTTTCATTTGAGGTATTAAGCGTTCAATTATCTGAAGTACATGCAGATGTTCAGATGTGCTTGTCCTAGAGTTTTGTATTAAATTTACAATCATAATATCATTTCGTAATTCAACTCCTACTTTTACCTGAAACAAATGAAATAGACCTCACTACCTGCGTTTTGCTATCCAGTTTAGTGTTGGCTATACGTTTAGGCTACACATTTCCTACCTTTAATCACTGACCAGCGTATAGGTAAGGTACCCTCAAGCAACGTAACAATTCTCTCTGGTAAGTGACCTCTTTGAACTCCAGGCTCGGTTTGTTTCATAATCCGTTTGATCCCGAACCGAGCGTGATTATCATCATCAAGCAGGCTGGACTTTTCAAAGAGCTCATTCGTTTCCGCCCCAAATCCCGTACCTCACGCTATCGATCAGTTGCGGCCACAACTTTGACCTAAGCCGATATATTTCATTAGCTCCCTGACGAAGGGATGGCCTGCTTTTGATACAAATAGACCCTTATCGGGTGCCCTTCAAGTCCAATGAACTGCGGGGGCATCGGTAGAACTCACGCGGTTAGCCATTCATTCAGCGTTGCCAGATGGATCAACCCACAACAAACACGAAAATCCCCCAGATTTGAAGCTTTTTAAAAAATCCTTAGCCTGTGGCTTTCGTGTCGATAATCCCCCGCGGTTTTCTGGCCAATCAAACTACATGTTGTCAAAAAGTCAATTGTATGGTTGGGACTGAAACGTATTCTCAGGTTAGGTAATACATACTATATATATCCAGTATTTGGAACTTCTGTCAATGAGTTTAAACGGAGTATTAAGACCATTACAATGTTATTCTTCAAATCGATTCTGTTTCGTATTCAGAACAAGGGTTTTACTCGTTGATTAAGTACATAAATAAAAACGTTTTCCTTCAATTTCAATAATTATGTTATTCTTCTTTATTTCAGTTTTATTATACCTTGATTGCTGCGCACACTTCCGTACTACTACATGAAGAGATAAAGTATATGCAGAACTCCACCGCTATAGAAGAATCTTTCGTTGATCACTCCACAACTTCTGAAAGTGAGTATAAGTTGGCCTTTAGTGCTTTTGTTATTCTTCAATGCTCATTCGATTTAAGAAATTGTCGTTTTCCAAAAACATACAGGGTGTCCCGACGAATAGAAAGTAGCACATTGGAAATGATGTCAAAGGTCTGTTTTTGTGACAACCTTGATATTTAGTGCATATTTCAAAATTATTTTAATATCTACATGGTGTTTCATCGTGCAATAGCAAATATATATTTTTAAATAGAATCTCCTATATTTGATTGCACATTTGAATAGAGCTTCTAAAAATATTAAGTTTGATGTCAATAACATATCGTTGCGATTGTCAGTGTCTTCGGTACTTGGTCAAACGTCTGTTAAAAAATGCCCAACTTTGAGACAGCTCGTTTAGATAAATCTTGCCGAAATTTCTTCCTATTTTACAGGGTATCTCAAAACGCAAAATGTACGTTTTCTTAAAAATTTCAAATGGATCACACTGTATATTTCTACATAGTTAAAAATTTTAATTAATGAACCTTTTTGTGATATATTTTTAATTTTTTTCCAAACGCTTTTGAGCTATGGTTATTAATTGCAAGAAAAAGCAAATATATTTTGTATTTAATCATGAAATCAAATCTTCTATCAGAACAATAGCTTTTACTAATACAAAATTGTTCGAAAACACCCAAGGCCAGACGTCTTTTGAAATTATCTTGCGCGTCTAAAAGGGTATTGTAGAACGAGAGGAGTCAGATAGAGAGATCTCGCTAGCCAATTGCTCGGTCCTCCTGCCATCAGTGATATGTAATCCTTCCCAATAGGCAATTGTGTCACCCAAGTTTCTGAAACGATGTAATTGTGAAAATATCCTGGGTCTGAGATCAAAGACCTGGGAATTAATAGCTATAACTCGAAAGTTGAGCGAAAAAGTGGTATAAACCTCATTTGAAAAAAAAATGTTTTCAACTACACAGGGTGTCCGCAAAGTTGGGGTTTTCCTTTACACGACGTGTAGATCTTGAAAACATAAGCAATTTTTCTTAGTACCATATACACCAATGTCTTAAGGGAACCGAGATAAAGGGCTCTGCAACATCAAAAATATCTGAATACCGTCCTGTAGCCACGACATCCCCGACTGGTACTAGGACACTAGCTCAACCCGACGACGGAACTGGGTCGGGGTCAGTGTGTCAGGTCAGTATGCAACCTTCAACCGACGGTTACGGAGGTAAAATAGAGACGTGGCTAGAGAAGTGCAAGTATCAAAAACTAAAGTGTGGCAAACGCTGCGTGAAGAGGGGCTGTATCCGTTTCACGTCCAACGTGTACAAGCCCTTCAACGTGACGATTTTCCAGCAAGAGTGCGGTTTTGTGAGTGGCTGTTGCATCAACATGACAATAATCCGGACTTTTTGAAGTGCATATTGGTGACAGACGAATCTACGTTCACGCGTAATGGGGTGAATAACTTTCGCAACACTCATGTTTGGTCAGTAGAAAATCCGCACGCTGTCCGTCGGGTACATTTTCGGTGAATGTTTGGGCTGGCATGGTGAACGGTATGCTCATTGGACCATTTATTCTCCCAAATCGATTGGATTGCAATACCTAGACTTTTTACGCAACATTTTGCCTTCCTTGTTAGAAGATGTGCCATTAAGTGTAAGACAATCAATGTGGTTTCTGCACGATGGTCATATTTGTTACCTCTGTTCGTGGTCTGCACCATCGCCGGCGTCTGCTCAGTAGCGCATCAGCTGATTTTATTTTCTGTTAGAGCGGTATGATTTCGGGCAGGGACGTACTTAGCCCTTCCCGTCAACTGGAGAGTGAGTACTTTTTCCTTTATTTTTTTTACTTGGTCGCCCTCGTTTCACTACACATTACCTTTGTTATTTCAAGGGTAGTTGTTTCTCAAAAGGAAAACCCCAACTTTGCGGACACCCTGTATATTATATGACCTCAAACTTCTTGTTGTTAGGTGCTCTATCCAAATATGCATTAAAGTATGGGGTATGTATTAAAATGATTTTGATATATGCAACATATCAAGGACGTCACGAAAACACATTTTTGGTATCTTTCCCTGTTTGGTCATAAAACTTTCCATTTTCGTTGGGTCACCCTGAATGTATTATGTTCAAGAAAAGCCATCAGTTACGGAAAATTATTTACTTATTCACTTGTGTATACGCTATCTGAACGGTTTATTACACCATTCAACGGATAGTGAGACAGGAATGAATCAATTTTAAGACATAAAAATGTTCAAAAATATCTTAAAATTACAAAATGACTTAACCTACCGTTATATGAAATCGTTAAACACTGCGCAAATTGCAAAAGAACAAATTTCTAAGAGAATATCGTCTAACAAGTTTTTTCTCTCTTCTAGCTTCGATGGCATTCACAATAACTTTGCTGACACTGTCTTCTTCCGGCGTGTTTACTACACTTTTACTATTATATGGCCTGCACACGGTAAGCACCCTTCGTGTCCGCTTATAAGCTGCATTTTTAAGGCGCAATAAACGGCAGCGTGACACGTTTTTGATCTCTACTTTGCGACTTTCTGCTTTAGTGGAAAGCGGAAATTAAACCAGTCTTGTTGAAACCGTATATTGGACACATCCACGGCATCTAATGTCGGCAGAAAGAGCTGTGTTAACGTGTCGCGATATCGAGCACCAGTAACAGCCTCATTTTCGAAAAAGTATTGTCCAGTGATGCTTCCAGCCCAAAATCTAAACAGTGACACGTGGTGCGTGCGCTTATTTTTTGACAATCACACGTGGGTTGTGCGACCCCCAAATACGGCAATTTTGGCGATTATGGTGAAAATGTGCTTAGGATGATTTTGCTCGAAAAATCAGCATCCACTTGTGTTGATGTTCAACACTCCATTCCAGGAACTCTCTTCGGTGTTCATGGTTGGATTCAGTTGTTGTATTTATTGTATTTTGTAATAGAAGACACAGATCTTTTGCGAGTATAGCTTCTTGAAATTTGCATATCTTGTCCGCGATGCCGAATTGACGTTCCTGGGCTTTCACCAACTCACTCACGCACTTCTTCGACATGGACATTTGAACGACTTGTTTTTGGGCAATCGGTGTGTTTAGCGTCTCCAACTGATTCAGTGTCCCTGAATTTTTCAATTAATCTTTTCATTGTTTACGAGGTTAAAACACTATTCCGGCCATATTTTGCATAAAATTTTCGAACTCTTTATTTTTGAAATATTTTATACAGGGTGTAAACGTTATGGTAGCCATTATTGAAATGGTTAATAGCGGGGGGGGGGGGGATATATCGACCACAACAACCACAACCTTACTAATTTTATAATCTAATCTAAAAATTCAAATCTTGCATTAATTATATGTTTTGTGCCTGGTACTTTACAAATCCCCGTATCTTTCTTTTTTTTTCTTCCCTTGGAATATTGTCGAGTTTTTCTTAGTCACTTTGTGTACAAAACAACCGGAAATGTATGAAAACACAGACCAGACCTAAACACAAATATATTGTTTGTGTAGCGGTTTTGTTTGCAAAAATATAAAATTTTATAACTCCACCGCAAGGATAGAATGAAAAGACAATAAAGTTTCCGATAGGATATGCATTGAAGCTGGTAGCAGCGTTGTGTACAGCACAAAATTTAATAAAAGTCGCTTGCGAGACTACATACAAAGCTGCGTTACTACGTAAGTGGATAGACGGGAAAATGCAAAACGTACGGAGGTGGAACATATTGCTTATGTAAAGAATTGCTTTTACAAAAAATGCTTCAGTATGTTTACAGAGTATACAAGGTTATTTAAAAAAATGGAAATATATACAGAGTGTCCCAGAAGTCGACGTCAAGCTGGTAACGGGGCCAGGTCATAATAGTTATCAGAAGAACATAGGCTTTAAAAGAAATCGGAAAAATTACTTACGTTGCTATATGTCTTACTGTCACTGACACAGTCCCTCACTGCGTCTGAGAAAAAATTGAATTCGTAGTAATGGAATCTAAAAGATCATCGTGTATATTTTTCGAATTTTTTTGAAGCTTATAATTTGAAAAGTACACTAAGTATACTTAGATTTTTCTAATGACTATTTTGACTTGGCCTATCGCCCGTTTCCTGCTTTACATCAACATCTGGGACACCCTGTATATAATGACAAAGAGCACTCCTTTTTTGACGTCAGAATACGGTATATGTTCGGCTATCTTAGCAACAGGCGTAGAAAGCTGGTTCTTAGCAGCCACCCAATTTTTCTGCCTGAAGGCTTTTGGTCTGGAATCAATAATACACAAAGTACTTTGAGCCCTGCTGATTCTATTTTATATACGATAATAATATTTTTGCTGGTTTCAGGATCACAAAATTCTGCTCATCCCCTGGATCTGCAATATAGTCGTATTCACTATTGCAGATGTAGCCTACGTTATATACAGTTTGATAGTTCATGCGGTAAGTAAACATTCATTGATGTATCGATATTGATGTTTACTCTGTTGAATAAACAGCATCTTTCTTGTTGAACATCCGTTCCACAAAGTTGGTTTGCATTTTAATACAGTTGAGCGCAATTTGTTAGGGTAGGTAAAAACTTGGACACTGTTCTCGGCAATATGAACTCGACTTAAACCAAACTTCGACCTCGGTTCCTTTCCCATTGAAATCAACTGCTAAGCAATTTGAAGCCTCGTTTTGAGGTTATGGATAACGTCACTAAATACACTACTCAAATAATTTGAGGAATCAAGAGGAAAAATCGAAATTTTTCGATGATTTTTAACAGGTTATATTTCCGTAAAAGTTGGTCGTATCTAGACTTTGAACAAAATCATATACTCATGAAGGTCATGGACAAGAACTTCATTAAACGTGAAATGTCCCGATCATTACATTTCCGCTATTAAAAGTGGCACTTTTAGTTTAAGAAAACTGGCTTATCCTTTGAATGACCTTGCAGTTAATAGTCAAGGTCACCATGTCAAACCTTACAACTTTGCCAGGCTGACCGAGCCAGATCTTCCTGACTTTCTAGCCATTAAATGGTAATCAAAACATGGACGTGAAAGCCTAGACTAGGGGATAAGAGATTTGCTTACCTTTGCTGACAAGGGGAAGGGGGAGGGTTAATAGTTGCAAAAAATCAACTTACGTAATAGTTGAACTGCTTCATGCCTAGTTTTACTGTGACCTGCCAAAAATCTTGAAAAGAACATTTTTTCTAGTAACATATACACCAGAAGCAGCCAAACCTAAATAAAACTTAATAAGGTCCTGCACCTCCATCAGGATAAACCAGAACACATACGCAGATCAGTAGCTATTCCAGGTGCTGGCCGCATTGTAAACAAAACCTTTATACACCGGTTCTGAAAAAGAAAACAAAAATTGTCTCAAACAGCAAAATATCGAAGCAGTGAGTGTCTTCGAAATGCTACCGAGGCTTCACGAGTGCATGCAGATCGCTTTCCAAAATCGTTTCACGTGTGCGAATTTAGCACTGTTTAAATTTTTTCTTTCCACTTTTTGCTGTTTTTCAACACACGTTAATTACCTTTGTTATTTCAAACATAGTTGCTGCTGCAAAAGAAAGTCCCAACATTTAAATTCGTGTGCCTTCGAATAGATATTTTTCTATTGCAGAAATAGCTTTATACATTTTAACCTCTCTGTTTCAGCTTCAATGGAATCCACCTGCTGCAATCATAATAACGTTGGACTTCTTCCTGAATTCGTTGCACGTAAGCATCATCACATACGAGAGTAATGAATCTTATCCTTGATTATCTTGACGAGTTTCACTTTTGCAGATTTATAGCCTGCTGTGTGTCGTGTCGCAATATCAAGAGCTGAAAGCCGGCAGAGGCAGGGCACTTGACGAACACATATACAGGGTGAGTTGGGTTGTTACTTCAAACTACTATTATTCGCAATTGCAGGAAATATCAATACAGCTCAGTAAACAAATACATGGATAAAAATAACATTTAAGTAAATATAATCTGTTGATTTTATTGTTATAATATACTAAAATGATGACAACGATTCAATCTACTTGACGCCACTTTCAGGTACCAAACGTCCACTACAGTTGCCAACCGACAGCCACCAGCATGCTAAGTGCCACAACAGGTCGGAAACCAACTCTTGGCGGAGTCTCCTTCTACGAGACCCGTCCAACTCCAACGCAGTCTCCGACCAACGCACAACCGCCTTCTGCGTCTCCCTCAACGGGACATATGGACGCCCTTTCACCTCCAACAGCTGGGGATATGAGGAGGGGGTCCAGGAAGTCGGTCAAGTTCGAAACGTCCTCGCCGGCTTATAATAATGGGGCGCAGCTTTTAGATCCATGGTAGGTGTGTCCCAGTAGCTAGTTCGCGATTTAATCTCGACATTTCTACCTGTATATATAATAAGGACCCAAAAACATTAGCAGATATTCACTGGTGACTTTCAACGTTTATACAATTTTTGTGTGGTACCCCGGAAAAGGAGTCAACAATTTTGCGATCAGACAATACCTCTGATAAGAATTATTTCGACCCAAGGTCATGAAGAAGACTAGTTTAATAATATTTGAAGAACTTTTCTGAAGGAAGAACCTAAAAAGCAGCAATTGAAATCTTCAGTGTCTATCTACTGGTGACCTTGAAACTGACCTTGACCATGCCGTTAGAGGTCAAATAAATTTTTAACATGCTATCCCATACATTTGAGAACGGAATTGGGTAGCGAAAAATTCCACGATCAGGTATGATGTTGGGTGAAAAAATATGTTTACCTTAAACATCCTGGTCAAGGTCATCGTGAAAAAACAGGCGTCTTATAAAATTTCATTAACGTTTCTGAAGATGGAGCATAAATAAGAATTTAAAACCAGCAGGGGCTTGATTTTTCTAATTATTCACTGGTGACCTTGAAACTGACCTTGACTATGCTACGAGTTCAAGTCGAATGTCTAGACCATTTTTACATTGTATCCTATACTGCGGATATGGATAGGGCGAAAAATGTTATGGTCAAGTATGATATTGGGTGGAAAATAGCCAAACCTTGAACATCCTGGCGAAGGTCACCGTAAAAAAACAGGCGTTTTATAAAATGAATGTTTCTGAAAAAGAAAGTGAGGATTTGAAAATTTTACTGGTGACCTTGAAACTGACCTTGATCATGATCTTGTAGGTCAAATTGAAGTCTAGACTTTTATTTGATACCGAAATGGATAGACCTAAGAACTCCACGTTCGGGAATATGATCTTGGGTGAAAATTATTTGACCTTGAACACACTGGTCAAAGTCATAGCTAAAAACTCTTTTTTTGATAAAATTTCAGGAACATTTCTGAAAATAAAGCATAAGTAAGAATTTTAAAACAACAGCTGCTATTTACTGAGATCTAGAAACTGACCTTGACCGTAATATTGGAAGTCAAATCGAAGTCTAGACAATTTTTGACATAGTGTAATATACATTTGAACGCAGAAATGGATATTTCATATTCAGGTATGATTTTGGGTAAAAATAGTATGACCTTGAACATTCTGATCAAGGTCATCGAAAAAACTCTCGTTAGAATTTCAGGAACTTCAGATAAAGCGTAAATAAGAACCTAAAAGCAGCAAGCGCCTAAAAATTTTACCGGCGACCTTGACCATGACCTCGGAGGCTAAATCAAGGTCTAGACAATTTTTGCAAGGTACCCATTTCAACCCCGAAATTAAAAAAGCGAAAATTTTACGTTTTTAAGTGGAAATTACTTTGAACTTGAACGTCCTTACCAAGGTCATCCTAAAAAAACTCGTTTAATAGAATTTTACGAACGATTCTGAAGATAAAGCATAATAATAAGGACCTTAAAGCAGCAGGGGATGCAGTTTTTCACATGCTATTCACACATTGAAACTGACTTTGACCATGAACTTTTTTCATTGTTTTGTATATTTTCTTTATTTTTAGGTCGATAGAAGTGAAATCATCACCAATCCTGCTACCAAAAGCAATGGATACAGCGCCATTGATAGAATCTTCTACTCTACTGGTTTCGCAATCGCCAGTCTAGTACACAGCACAAACTGAAATACTTCTATAGCAGGACACCACAAGGTCACGAAATTACTTGGAAACACACCTTTAGTAGTGAACTTGTTTTATAGAATTATTTCAGTTTGTAGCACAACGTAAAATTTCATGAATTAGTGGGACTTTGAGTACCAGACCAAATCAGAGCACGTCTTTATCTTTATTGGAGATTAAGTTATTTTTTATAAACAAAATTTGTTCTATAGGTTAATATTGGTTGTACATACTGAAAATTGTGACTACGTGTTTGTGAGTTTGGCTAAGTAGCAATGTACACGAGCTTTTGAAAATCAACACAGCAAAGTTAATTCAATTTCACTGAGATCCAGGATTCTAAGATCTACCTGCACATTGGCTTTTAAAGTCAAACATCGTTATTGCTGGTTTCTCAATAACTATTGAAACACTCAAATGCATGTTGTTCCGATGTTTCTGTCTCGTAATCTATAGCAAACGTTGTTACTAAGCCAAATGTTTAGAAGAATATACAATGACACCAAATTATACTTAGGAGACGCAATAAATGTGTAAAGGACTACTAAACAAAACGCTTATATTGGAGAAAAAATAATTGAAACAAGCCCTCATTTTACTATGGATTGTGATTTGTCTTCATAATCGTGGATGACCAAATCGTTAGACGTTAACGATTTTACGATATGGTCAATCGAGAATGACCAAATCGTTAAGTGATTTTACAATATGGTCAATAGTGAATTATAAAATCGTATGGTCAATCGTGGATGATCCAATCGTTAAGCGTTGGCGATTTTACGATATGGTCAATCTTGGAATACTAAATCGTTGAACACTGACGATTTAACAACAAAATAAAGTCCTTAACAGCTGTTGATTATAGGATATGGTCAATCATGGATCTGCAAATCGTTAAACGTTAGCACATTTACAATATAGTCAATCGTGGATGACCAAATCGTTAAACGTAAGTGATTTTACGATATGGTCAATCTTGGATGACTAAAGCGTTACACATAGACGATTTAACAATATGGTTAATTGTGGATGATCAAATCGTTAAAGGATCTTTTGATTTGGTCAATCGTGAATGACCTAATCGTTAAGCGCTGATGATTTTAGGATATGGTTAATAATGAATGACCAAATCGTAAAACGTTGACGTCTATACGATTTGGTCAATCATGGATGATCCAATCTTTGAACATTGAAGATTTTACGATACGGTCAATCGTAAGTGACCAAATCGTTATGCGCTGAATGTGCTTAATCGTGGATGACCAAATCGTTAAACGATTTTTCGATTTGGTCAATCGTGAATGACCTAATCGTTAAGCGCTGATGATTTTAGGAAATGGTTAATAATGAATGACCAAATTGTAAAACGTTGAAGTCTATACGATTTGGTCAATCATGGATGATCCAATCTTTGAACATTGAAGATTTTACGATACGCTCAATCGTAAGTGACCAAATCGTTATGCGCTGAATGTGCTTAATCGTGGATGACCAAATCGTTAAAAGATTTTGCGATATGGTCAATCGTTGAGCGCTGATGATCTTAGGGTATGGTTAATCATGGAATACCAAATCGTTAAAGCGTTAGCGATTTTACGATATGGTCAATCTCAGATGACTAAATCGTTAGACATTGACGATTTGACGATATGGTCAAATTTGGTTGACCATTTCATGAAATGAGACATTTTTTCATTAATTATAATTGATTGTTTTTATTTTTTTATACTTTTCTACAAAAAAAAAAATTCGAAATTCCACTCTCTCATATTGAATAAAGAAATGTGACAAACAGCTGACCAAAGATGGCTGAAGAAGTTCCGTAAAAATCTGTTTGTTCTTCCATTATTTTTTCTCCAAAAAAAATACCAGAATGATAGAATATGTGATTCTGAGCATAGTGATTTTGTATCTAAATGTTTATATAAGATTTTGTTACACAACTATATGTCGTAAATTTCTATGTTATAGATGATAAAGTCAATTACGAGATGTTAAACGAAAAAGTTACAGCAAGCTTTTATCTAGAGCACTAGTCGGTTCGCCGCTGATTTGAAGCGTAATCTAGGGTAACTTTAAAATTGTGATATTAATATTATGTTCTATCGATGTCATTTACGAAGCCTCGAAACAGCGGCCATACTCGACGAGTGGTTGAGCCCAAATTTAAAAACTTGCTGTAGCGGGACTTAAGAGGAATATAGAAAATAAAGTTTTCTACGAAACTGGTTCTTTATCTTCATCCCATCATTACAAAATTATCCATGATCACTGATTATATTCACCAGAAGGTTGATGATACCTACGCGGAGATGGGCATATGTGCTGTGAAGCTACTAACAACAAACTATACAGGGTGATTTTTTTATTTCACCTCACACGTTTTTAAATTCGAGCACTCTTAATATCATTATTTAATTACTAGTTATGCTGCTGCAACAATTTTTCAGATGAAAATCTATACTGCCTCTAGTTTTATAGTTACGATAATGACTATTTAACTTTGTGAACTCTTCTCATGTGGTGGTGAAAAATAAGAAAAATAAATCGAATTTGAAAATGAGAACTGAATAACATCATTTTTTACATTCAACCACTGCACTTCTGCATTGGCATATTTGTTTGTTATATATTTAAAATCATTCTCTAATCCCTATTTTCTAGAATCTATAATGTTTTAGAACAATTTTTTTAGAAACAAAATGGAGTCGGTTTTCATTACGAAGAATGTTGGGGGGAGACAAGGGGATCACTGCGATTAAGCATCTTCTTGTCCAGTAAACCATACACAAATTACAATTTTTCTAATCCTTGTTGAGGCAGTTTCCATAATAGTTAGAATCTAACAATCACATGGATTGAGACAAGGATTTTTTGGCAATTAAACAGCGGTCTCACAAAACAAAATTTATTATTTTACTGCGCATTTCACACACAGAATATCAAAGGTAGACTAGTAACAGAGTATATTAAATGAAGCTATGGATGATACTTCAAAGATTTTAGACATCTTCTTCTCCATAATCCAACATATCGTCTTCTTCACCATAATCCAAGTCGTTTTGGCCCATCTCGATGACTGATGAAGTTTCTGTCCTATTTTTAGGACATTGGGGACATCTAAAACAATCAACGTGTTCACGACTACTCATTGATAATAGCATTATACAGGGTGCGGCAGAGAGGATGGACGGTTTTAAAATAATCATAAAATTGTTAATTTTTACTCGAAAACAAATTTGTTGATGGAATCGGGTTCACAAGGAAATAGCATTTGAGACAGTCAAGTGTGGAAAATCACATCAGGCATGCGTTGGCCGAAATCGTTGATGCAGTGCTGGAGGCGTTCTTGGAAGTTCGCGATAATATTTTGATGGCAATTTTGCTTTGCTTGGAGAACTGAGAAAAGCATAAAGCGTACATACCTGTTCTCGTCCAAACCGTAATTGACACAGCTCTGTCCGATGCATTCGCAGCAACCATCGTGGAACCATCTGTAACTCGAAGCGCCCATGGAAATACAACCGTTTCTGCATTTCTGCCAACTCATGCATTGGGTCCAAAAAACTACCGTGCAATTGACGGATAGGAATCTCGACTTGGCGGTGATCGTGTCATCTTGGCCTTCTGGAAGACGAAAGTGATATTTAGGAATGGATGGTCGGGTCATATCTCAAATCGGGCTCAACGTTTTTTTTCAAGGTCCTTGAATAAATATGTATAATAAACAAATGGATCGCTATATTTAACGAATACGTACTTATATTGATGTTCACGGGAACTTCGAGTGCTGACCATTGTCCAAGCTGATCTGGAAACTCTGTAAGAGCTTCGAATAGTTGCGGTACTGCCTCCTGGAAATCTTCAACTACGGATTGTTTGTTCAATGATCCCAAATCTTCTTCGGTTTCAGGACACATGTCTGGAAAAACGCAATAATTGAAAATAAAGTAGGTATTTTGAATTCTATTCATGGAGTTCTACAAGCAGATAGTTATTGTTAGAACATGTCGTTGAGAATATGTGTAATCCATTGATCTTGGATCAGTTCTTGATGTTCTGTGCTCAATGAATGAATGATGTTCTGTCATCGAATGTCATATGTCACTAGAGTTAAGTGGCTGCAGCTTGTAACGACCGCATGTGTCTTTCGCTGTATAAACTTTATCTGAAGTCACTTGAAACACTGTGAAATACCGGGTGCGTTTTATATATCTATATTTAACACACTCTGTTGCTACAAAAATCGCCAAATTTCGCAGCAAATAGCCCCGTATAAGATCAAAGGCAGTTTCACCGGTCCACGTGGAGTAAAGCACGCCTATGCGTGGGCATAGCCAATGAGAAAGCGTGTATTTCAGAGCTCCGAACGAGTGCAGGTGGCTACTGAAAATTGAAACAGTTTAGCCAGTGCCGTGTAGCGGTGAATAAACGTGTTTTCTTTAGTCTGTTCGTGTTTTTTCATAGATTTTATTAGTTTGTGTGTTTTTGACTTTTGAATACTCTGTTTACTTGTTGATTTAATTGTTGTGTTGATTGTTCTTGTGTGTCCTAAATATGGCTCTTTGGAGACCTTGGGAAAATGCTCCAAGCCACGAGGAGATGGTTGATGAACCTGTGCAGGTAGAATTCTTTCATAAAGATTTAGAGGAACAGACCCAAAGAGTAATCCTAAATATGTATGATTGTCTGAAAAACGAAAATCCAGATTCCTCGCAAAATCAAATTTTAAACAGAATTTGTATCCTGACAAAAGTCAGTCGGTCTACCATTTATCGGGTTATAAAATGGGGAGATGTAGTCAACCATTCCTTCCACAGAAAGCGCATAGGGCAAAAATTAAAAAGAATAGACGTGGGTTTTCAGGAAGATATTCGTCGTATAATATACGGATTTTGTAAAGAAAATTTGGTGCCCACGTTGGAAATGATACGGGATAAATTAAAAGATTATCCTGAAGATTTTTATAATTACAAATACTGTATTGTAAAACTGTGTGGTTTTCAATACAAAAAATTAGATAAAAGAATGGTGACTATGGAGTCGTCTCGAATCGTTGAATTGCGCCAAGAATTTTTGCACAAAGTTAAAATCTATAGAGAGCAGAAAAGAAATCTGATTTACCTGGATGAAACGTGGTATGATACCCATGATGTTGTGCAGTACGGCTGGGTTGACGACAGCAACAAGTCCATTTTAAATGCACCATGCAACCGTGGAAAACGAATCATTATTCTCCATGCTGGCAGTGAAAATGGATTTATCCCTAATGCCTTGCTGTTATCTGCCAAAAATATCAAAGAATCATGTGCCGACTATCATGACCTCCGACTTATTTGAAAAGTGGATAGAGCAGCAGTTAATACCAAACATTTCCCCAAATTCAGTGATTATTATGGACAATGCGCCATACCATTCCCAACAGAAAAACAAAATTCCGAATACAGGCACAAAAAACAAGACATTATTGATTTTATGAAGGATAAGGGAATGGAAATACCACAAAAATCAACCAAAGCCATATTATTGGATCTTATTAAAAGACAAAAATTTGAAAAAGAGTATGTTGTTGACAATCTGCTTCAGCAAAATGACCATGAAGTATTACGTCTACCTCCCTATTACTCCATTTTTAACCCGATTGAGTTGGTCTGGGCTGCTTTAAAAAAAAAAGTAAGAAAACATAATCAGACCCCTCAATTAAGTGAATCGCTATTGGCCACAATAAGAGATGCAGTATCTCATATTGCTGCCACAGACCTATGGAAGCAGTGTTCTAGGCATATTATTGAAAAAGAAAATGAATATTGTGTTTTGCTTCCTGTAAATCCCGTTGTAATTCCTCTACAAGATGACTCTAGCGACAGCTCCCAAGGCGAGGATGATATATAAATACCTATAATGTAAGTCTTTATATACCTTTTTATATACCTACCTGCTATGTAAATATTTGCCTATGTCAAACGTTGGAATTCTGTAATTTTTCCATTTCTTAACTTTCAGTCAACATAAATTAAACTCCCAATATAAGTATTTTTTATCCCAAATCAAAAAAATAAGAAGATAGTAAAATCCATTTACTGTGATATAAAAACATTATTATTATCGTTCTAAATAAATAACCGCACGCCTATGATACGTCATGAAATTACAAAGGACGCGCCGACCAAAGGTTTTTATGCTATTTCAAGTGACTTCAGATAAACCATACGTTCTTCCCATTTTAATAAAACTAGTATATTATAACCATCTGCGTTCCACAAGTGTGTAATATATCGATTCACCGACTCTAACAACAGTTATTATTTCCTAATCGCGAAAAAATACGAATTTAAGATATTATGTTTTTTTCGTGTTATATGACATGTACAGGGTGGTCAACTAGGAATTCGAAGTACTGTATCTGGCAACCTGGCTTGCGGTAAGAAAGTTCTTACTAAAACGGCATAGAGAAAAACCTGGAAAATATTTTCAAGTTCTTGAATACTGAATCTAAAAAAGTGGTATTTCAATGAATTTCGATATATTGACCTAACAAAAAAATAGCTGATATTTAAATTCAAGGGTATTTTGAATCTTTTTTCTTTGATAATTTCTGCTGCATCTCTAAAAATAGAGTGGTGGGGGGTTTTTCCGTAAAAAATACCCTGTATCTTCAAAACGGCTGAGGCGATTTTAACAAACTTGGGCTAGTTGAAAAAGCTATACCCGGGCTATAAATGTTATAATATTTGAAGATTTGTTAATCTCACATGTGGCTGCTAGAGGGCTTTTTTCGACTTTCCGACAGGAATGGTCAATTTTCTCAACAAAATTCAACGCATTGGTATGATTTTTTCATTTCAATTCCGTTTCTAATGATATAAAATTAATGTACTTCAGTTCAGTAGTTTTGAAGATTTATTAAGTAAAAGCTTAAATAAAACTGATAAATCATTAGTGGAGATCAATACATTTGGACGCAAAGTAATTTAAAAATGAAGAATGAACTGAGCCGTTAGGCAAGTAAATGTTGAAAATGGCCACCATGGTTAATTTATGTAATAAAGCGTTACAAGTTATTTTAGCAACAAAGTTTGCTCAAATCAATCGCAAATTATGTACTAAATTCCTATTTAAAATAAGTACGAGGTATTTCTTTATCTTTCTCCAAGAAATAACTTTTTTGACACAAAAAATCGCTCCAATAGCTATTTTCAACAACAAAATGATAAACAAACCATGGGCGTAGTGAAGAGAAGCATTTACTTACTAAGTAAATTTTTTTAGTCAGATTTCTTCTGAAAGTAGTAAAAACTAATCTGATGTAGGTACCTATTAAAGTCTACCTTAAGCTTTGAATGAATATATCTTCAAAACTACTGAACTGAAGCTCATGTATTTTACATCATTATAAAGTGAATTGAAAGACCTTTAAAATAAGGTATCACTCGACCCCCTTTTCCATTTAAGATTTTAGGGTTGGTGTCACCCCCTCCCAGGGGGCTGCACGTGTTAACGCGATTTTTTGCCAAACTTGTGTCCCCCTCGAAAACAAAATCGACTGGTCTGAGCGTTTTAAAAAAAAAAACTGAGCTGCCAGTTAATGCGTCTGTTTCGTTTTCGATGCGCCACCCTGAATTTGACAAATATTGCAGCAGAATTATTAGCAATTGACGAAAAATACGAAAATGTTCAGTCACCAAAAAATTTACTTAAAAAAAATTTGTTGTTTCCTCGACATTTTCCCTCATGTGACTCGACTGTTTTACGCATTGCACCCCAATTACAAAAACGTATTCATACCGACACACGAACAGCAATCATGGTACCGAACCCCCAGGCAGTTGAAGCATTCCTTGGCACACGGTTTCGTAGCAAGATCGCAACTGCACGACTTTATCAGCAAACACTTGCTCACTATACTTCCGCATACTGCTTCGTTACAAGCAAACGAATAACGAATACTTTCCGCTAAAAACCCGAATACGAATAGTACTAGACCCGTCATCGCATCGGAGAGGAAACATTAATAAGAATCATGATCGGAATCGATATTTATTTTGCACAAAACTGTGAAGGTCAGACTTGCTAGATAGATTCGTAGCCTGGGGCAACAGATGAACAGCAATTTGAATTTTAAAGACGAAATTTTTTGGATATAGCGATGACATCAGCCAAGGTTATTGCAACGATTATTAATGTGCGCGATTCTCATCAGCTGTATAAAAATTTTCGAAAAAATGGAAGCTGTAACTTAAATTCCAAGCTGACATAATTATGACGTGTGAAACATGTGAGAAATGCTGTTTTTATGATTGAAGCAACCAGTGAGGCGGTTGGACATAACACTGTCCAGTTTTCTATAAGCAGGTCCTTCATTCAAAGAAGCGAAAGGAGCACGCAAAAGCTATAAAGCGAGATACCGGATACTGTAACTCTCCACTGGGATGGCAAATAGTTGCCACCTTTAAATGAATGCAAGTCTAAAGAACGTCCACTGATTGTTACAACGTATGGAAATAAAGATCAACTTATCGATGTACCCAAACTCCAAATTGCAGAACTCTTCAGGCAGGCTCAGCCAGTTTGGATGCTATTATTGACAAGCATCTGTTACGATACTACTGCTTCAACTGCGGGTCGCATCGACAAAGCTTGAGTGCTTCTAGAAAAGAAACTTAATAAATAAATGCTTATTTTTGCTTGCCGCCACCACGTCTACGAATTGCTGTTAAGATGCGCGTTTGATCAAAGATCGACCATTGATGACATTCCAATGATGAGGTACAAATACCACAGAAAATCAGGTAGTTGAAGACGGTTTCTCCCTGAACGATCGATAATCACCAACCTTCCCACTGTCTCAACGATTGAACGCAGTGTCTGGACATCCCAGTTAACATAATATACTAAGTGACATATAAATCCGAACACCCAGTTTAAATGGTTTTATTTTAATAAAATTTTGTATAAGTACTTAATGAAGCATAATAAGTAAATGATAAAAATTTCAAAATGATTACACTGCTTTAAAGCCCTTTGACCTTTAATAAGGTGTGGATGCACCCTGATGTGCTACGCATTCTCCAACGCACCTAGGCATGCTTCTGATCAGGTGGTCAATGTCCTCCTGTGGTATCTCATTCCAGGCAACCACCAACTCCTCTCGAAGTGCTTCTAGAGTCTGAGGAGGACGTTGCAAATTGAGCAATCTCCTACCCATCATATCCCACACGTGCTCAATTGGGGATAAGTCGGGAGATCTTGGTGGCCATGGTAACAATGTGACATCACTATGTTGAAAGAAGTCTATTGTGACTCTTGCACAATGTGGTCGGGCATTATCTTGTTGGAAAGTTGGATCTGCCAGGGTGTCAAGATAGGGTAAAAGATGGGGTTCTAGAACGTCGTGGATATAACGCTGCGCGTTCATGTTACCTCTGATGAAGATTAAAGGTGACCTGGAACCATAAGCTATAGCACCCCAAACCATAACTCCAACAGTGTGATGAACATGTCTTTCAACAAAAAACTGTAGATTCCTCCTTTCACCACGTCGCCTTCTAACCCTGGCACGACCATCGTGCATGCCTAAACAAAATCGAGACTCGTCACTAAAGACAATACTGTTCCATTCCTGATCCCAGAGTGACCGTTGTCTGCACCACTCAAGGCGATCACGTCGGTGTTCTCGAGTTAAAGGGAGGACCATGTGTGGCCGGTATGAAAAAGAAGCCAAAACTTCTCATTCGTCGGTAAACACTTCGCATGCCAATAGGTCTTCCGTGTTCTGCAAACCATTCATTTGCAATGGACCTGGTAGTGGAGAAACGGTCCCTTAAGACCAATAATCTTAGACGACGATCTTCACGGTCTGTTGTTCTACGGCGGCGTCCAGTGCCCCTTGCTCTTTGCGTACGGCCTTCTCGAAGCCATGCCTGACAACACCTAACCACAGTGTCTACACTTCTTTGCACTCTAACTGCAATTGCCCGAAAAGAAAGTCCAGCTTCCCGAAGTCCCACTATGCGGCCCCTATCAAACTCACTAAGTTGACGAAATCGTAGAGGTCTCCGTACTCTAGGCATCGTAACCGGTCGTAAAGGATGTCAAGAACCAAAATTCGCCAACGTTGATTCTTTACTGCGGCTGAAATATTCATTTTTAGAGCGTTAGTGAATTAAAAAAAAGCAGTATAAAAACCGGAATGTCCAACTGATAAGGCTGAAAATTGTTTCACTTGTTATTTACAGTAAGATAAATACATTCACCAACTTTTATTAAAATAAAACCATTTAAACTGGGTGTTCGGATTTATATGTCACTTAGTATATATCCAGACAAGGCTTTTAATTGCGACCCTAAAAGAAGTCTGCAATCAAGCGGAGCGTCTTGGAATTAGGGACGAATTGTTGCAGTGTCCAGTCTTCCCGCCATCGTATGGCAAGCGGAGATCCCTAAGGCTCAGTTTTGGTTCCAGTGCTTTCCTTTTGTACACAATTGACCTTGTGTGGCAATATTTCAAATACAAAAAACTACTTGAAATACAATTTTCAGGTAACTTACTTGAAGTGCTGAGTATGAGACACCTTCTTGCTTGCTACCCAAAAAATCGAAATTCTCACTACCGTAGCGTTACTATTCGGCTATCGACAAATTCTACTAAATAATTTTAGAACTAATGGGTGATTTTTATGCTAGTATCTTTTTGGCAACACAGTTTTGACAGATGACGCGTGAATCGTGTCTTGTGTCATTGTCAAACTTGTTCAGTTTGGTCTATAATTTAACCATGAATCGACTTACGAACGAACAACGCTTGCAAATTAAGAGAGTGCATCGAGCACTGTTTCCAATTTATGGGCAGTTTGGTCGGCCTACTGAGGGAGCTATTCGGAAGCTTGTGACTAAATTTCGAACCCAGTTTACATTATTGGACATTAAACCAACAACACGCAGACGTAGAGTGAGGACTGAAGAAAATATTGCGGCTGTATCCGCCAGTGTTAGTGATGACCGTGAAAAGTCGATTCGCCGCAATTGGGCCTCTGTTACTACACTACGTAGAAAATTTTGCGACAGGATTTGGGTGTAAAACCTTATAAGATACAGCTGGTGCAAGAATTGAAGCCACACGACCTCCCACAACGTTTCCAATTTGGTGAATGGGCGCCGGCAAAGTTGGAGGAAGATCCACATTTTTATCGAAAAATTGTGTTCAGCGACGAAGCTCATTTCTGGTTGAATGGGTACGTTAACAAGCAAAATTGCCGCATCTGGAGTGAAGACCAGCCAGAAGCATTGCAAGAGCTACCAATGCATCCCGAAAAAATCACTGTTTGGTGTGGATTATGGGCCGGTGGCATCATCGGGCCGTACTTCTTCAAAGACGACAACGGCCGGAACGTAACTGTGAATGGCGAGCGCTACCGTGCAATGATAACAAACTTTTTTTTGCCCAAAACGGAAGAGCTGGACTTGGCTGACATGTGGTTTCAACAAGACGGTGCCACATGCCACACCGCACACAAAAGAATGGCCCTACTGAGAGGCGAGTTCGGTGAACAGTTTATCTCACGTTTGGGCCCCGTCAATTGGCCGCCTAGATCGTGCGATTTAACGCCGTTGGACTATTTCTTGTTGGGCATGTTAAGGCTAATGTCTACAGGGACAAACCAGCAACGATTGACGCACTGGAAGCCAATATTGAAGTATTTATTCCTGAGATACCGGCCGATATGTTGCATATGTTGCATGGGCCATCTAAAGCGGAGCCGCGGCCAACAATTACATGAAATAATCTTTAAACATTAAATTATATCGACCGTTCTATCGACTCAAATAAAGATTTAATCGTTTTTTCGAATTTTTTGTGTTTTTTTTTTGAAAATCAAATCCTATACCTCTTAAAAAATCACCTGTTACTTACCTACACAAGCACAGCAATCCGAATACAAATGTCCCAAACAATTGAAGCAATCCTTGGAGCAAGTCCTTATATGCACGTCACAAGTACACGATTCCGTCAACAAGCACTTACTCACGATGCTTCCACAAGTCGCCTCGTTGCAAGCGTTAGAAACGCGCAACACACTCAACATCAACGATATCGTTATAAAAACTTCTTTAATGTGAAGCATCTTCGTATTTTTGAACGCATTTGACAATATTAGTCTTCTTCGGTAGATGATATTTAGGCGGAATGGAAAACGGACTGAACTAGAACACTATCATCGCAAAATGAAGCAGGTAATGTTACCTTCTTTTATTGCTATTATACCTGCAATACCTATGTAATTGACAAGGATTTAAAGAGACATTTTGAGAAAAGGATTAAATGATATGTAAATAAGGTAATTTTAAACGCGTTTAAAAGGCACTAGTTATAGCTGAAGGTAGGTGTTCTCACTAAATACAGGGTGTCGCAATATTCCGTGGACGCAAAAGTACCACGCACTTTTTACGATTGCGCATGAATTACCTCTATGCAAAAGTGCTTTGTTTGTCTTTTAGAGGACGACAAAGTTTTCTTTTTAAAACACATTTTTTCGGATATTTCTTTAAGCGGTAGTCGAATAATTTGGAACACGTGTTTTGCCAGAAGTCCTGTAATAGGACTTTTTCAAGAAGACCCGAAATGCATATATAACAGGGTGACTTCGAAGTTGAGTCATTTATTTTAACAGTGAGTAGATCTGATCAAAAGAAATGTTTTTTTCCTTTACCATTTTTTCTGGTAAAATTAAAGTAACAAAGTTATAGCCCTTTGGAAGTTTGAGTACCGCCCTGTCTCAATAATAATATTATGTGCTCGTGTTTGGCAACAACGGATATAATCCGCCTTATCGGTTCATCGCATCGGAAACAAAAAAGCGAAAGAATTTGGAACGATGTTTTTACAATTATTTTATTCAGTTGTATACAGTCAGTGTCAGTCGGTAACGCGTGAGTGAATAGTGGTGTCTGTTGCGTGGCTCAAACGAAATAAAAAATGGCACATGTTTATGCGGATCGGTTTCCCAATCGAGTGCAACCAACCCCTCGTGCCTTTGTTAATGTAGTACAACGGGCTCGTGAATTAGGTGACTTGAGACCTCACAGGGGACCTCACGATCAAATACAGGTCCGCACTGAAATACTTGTCGGGAGGATACTTTATAAAACAAGGTAAAATTTTTTTTTTTATTTTTACACATATATTTTGGTTTATCTCCCTTTTACAATCATTATCTGAAAATTAATGACTCAACTTCAAAGTCACCCTGTATATAATATTGATTTTTTAATATTTCCCAATTTATGGTTATTTATATATTTTATTATTATTACAATTTACTATTTTGAAACATTACGATTATTACAATGTAAGATTTCTGAAAAATATTGTGCTGTATGGGCCCTACATAAATTATAACGGATTTTTCTGGCAACTTACCCAACGATTCTGTTTTTTTTCATTTAAAGCAATCAATTACGTCATTTCTTGTCTCTTAAAAAAACTGGCCATCTCGCATAGACTAACAAAAAAAAATTTTTTTGGGAGGTGCTTTCTAAACAATTTTCATATTACATCGAGTGTTAAAATTATTGGCGCCATATTGTTACGTGCAGGTACGGAAATGTTGGTCATATTGATCAACCTCTTTGAGAGATTCGTACTAAAAATACGGAATATTGGGACACCCTGTATATATATGCCACGGATATCATTATAGTGAATGTTGTGACTGATACCTGATACACTAAGCAGGTTAATGAACACCTGTTTGAGGTATGCAACAAATTAAGTAATTTTATTGCTTTTTCAATTCTTTTATGATACGGTTTCATGATAAATTACCGGAGTGCGCAACGAGAATTTGTCGTATAAAAGGTATTATAGTCGTCAACAGGAAGAAAATGGTATTTACAGTTTCTCAATTCCGGGGAAAAAATTCGATTTACCCAAAATCGTTTTTATTTTTTCCTGGCTTTGAGTTGGGATTTTAAAAACAACACAGGTGTCTTAAAAAAATGACTGGCTTTCCCACAATATTCTATTGTTCAGTTTATTAAAGACGTATTGTTAATCTCGCTACCTTTTTCAACAATTGAATAACGACCCTATGAAAATATGGCTTCTTCACGAGCAAAAAGTGCTTTAAAGGATACACGAGTGATGGCACAAGAACCTATGTAACCCTAAAATAGCTTGTATGTGTACGGATCAATCCACACACTGGCACAGTACGAAACGAGGGATCTGAAGCAACAAGCGAGTCATCTTCAGCAAAGCAATATTGAGCTGAAACAAATTCTTACAAAACATCGGACATGAATCATATCATCTGAAGAAGTGGATTTAAATTCTTCGACAGAAAAAAGTTGTAGAAAAAACGTCCAGGACTCAGCAAGAAAATATGCAAAAAGACCATTAATACAAGGAAGGATCATGGAAAGAGATACTACGGGGTGCGTTCAGGAAATAACGGGAATTTTCGCTTTTTAAAAAAATATTTATTTACTCGTCTACAATTATGTTGTCGTCTTCAAGACACCATGAAATGTGCACTTGTGTCAACGCTTCTTCCAAGTCTTGAAACACTTCTCAAACTCGATCTTTGGGACAGCGTTTAGCTCTTTCAGTGATGCGCTTTCAATGTCATCTATGCTTGTAAAAGACGGTCATATTTTCCAAGCTCTCGCGATTAATTAGCTTCGGGTGGAGCTGTAGCCGTTCACTTAGCAAAACTTGAGGCAACAGAAAAATAAATTAAGAAAATAATTTTATAGTACATACTTAACAGCCTGTATACTTATTCGACTAGGAATAAAATTAATAAAATAAGCAGGATTCGTTTGTCTACTAAACAAATAAGGCAAGGCTGCTATACGTATCTCGCCAGTCGGCGCCTGGTGAAATAATGAAAATAACGTTATCAAAATTTCAAAAAGAAATAAAAAAAATCACAAAAAAGGACAAGAACAAGTTCAAAGAATCATAGAAAATAGGTAAAATATTATGATGAAATTTGAAAAAGTTTACCAATTTTATTATAGAGTATAAATGTTTCAATTACCTACTGTTTTTTTATCGATATTGTTCATTACTCTTGTTTCTTTGTCTTTAGTATTATATAACGTATATAGGTGAAAAATTAAAGCTTCCGCCTTTTGTTGGGTACTTCGACAAAATTTAAGCAAAGAGGACTCTTTATACTTTTTTAATTCTCTCTAGCTTTCAATGGACTTTGCCATCATCATCAGGAGCTGCAATTACAATGATAACAGTAGCAACAAAAGTGTAAAATGAATTTAAATTGACTCAACTTACAGTAGTATGTGAGGATGTTGCTAATTGTTGTTTACGTATAGGATGAGGGAAACGTCCAGTAACATGGTGAGAGCTGGATAGATGGTACAATGGTCAAAATTATATAAAATATGACAAGAACAAGTTAAAAACATTAAAAATTATTTAAAAACATTAGAGCATTACATCGTGAAGCCACTTCGTCGGCTAAATGCGTTAAGCTGCTAACTCCATTTTCATCACTTTGGAGATATTTACCGATTTGGCAACTATGTCTCCTTTTCTATCATGCCAAAACTAAATGTTTGTCAAGTTGGTACGAAAACTGATTGAAAAGTCATGATGAGTAATGCTGCCAACTGCTCCCCACACTTTATTAATCGAAATACTGCTATCTCCAGTCAAAACAATGTTACATGTTGTGCACGTGTGCTATTCAGACGCTCTTCAGCTATAGAATAAACGTGGTTTCTGTTTGAAATATTATAGTTCGAGACCATTTTGGTGTTCCAGTAATACTTTTTGATGAAAAGTAAGTTCGATTTTGTAAAAATATGTTTATTTTGGTTTGCAGTAAACAAAATTACCGTTACGCTGGAGTTGACAGCGTTTCTTTTAACTTACGCTTGGTCATATTTGGGAGATAGCAGTATTTATTATTGTTTTTTTTTTATGAAATTGACTTCTTGAGTTAGAGTAGAATTGATTAAAAACAAAAAATATTTGATCCATTTTCTTTCCTCTGGCCAGTAATAAAACCAGATCTTGAAAAATTGATTTTAATGCGAAAAAGATTCGACCACGAGCTGTGGTCTTCATCAACGTACATTAATCAGTTTGACAATACTTTTCATCTATCCTCCAGGTGATGGATCAAGGACATAGGATAAGTTTCAGATGTTACATTAATAAAAATACTATTTAAATCTTATTCATTAGGTATGATGTCATCACGGACACAGAAAATTATCCAGTTAGCTACTGATGAGACGGCTGCTGCCACAAAAAGATTCGACGACAAGGAAAATATTAGTCCAGTTTCAATACATCATTATAACGTAGTTGAAAATGTTTTGATCGAAACCGTCGAAACGCCCCAAACAGCTGACCATGACGAATAGTGCCTTGGAAGATATGATGGATGAGAACATGACTGAAGACATGAGTGTAGATGAAGCCCAAAGTACTGGTATAACCAAAACAAAAGAAAGAATAGTGGAAGATAAAAACGAATATATTGTTGAAAAAGAAAGTGAAAAAATCATTGAAGACAAGATTCAGATTGCTACAAATACAAATAATGTACAGGAACTAATAGAGCCGGAAAATAATTGCTTAGTTACCTCAAATAATAATCAAACTACTCCGTCCCTTGAAATATCAGCTACATCAAGTGATCCCGACTACACTCCCCCGAAACTAGTAGACTATTCAAATTCGGACAGCGATGAGATGCCTACAAAAAGCAATAAGCGAAAAAAAAGGTTTCAAGTTCAAAAAGCTGCTTGGTATGGAGAAAAAAATAAAATTCGGCGTGAAAGGGGAAAACGGTATTTTGGACGAGCCAAAATTAATGGTAACTGGAACTACGATATTGAACGTCAACCGAAAGAGATAAAAGAGAGATGTGCATGCAAAACTAAACAAAATGGTGTGCTAAAATGTCAATTAGTTTCGAATGAAAAACGTAAATATATATTTGAATACTTTTGGACCTTAAAGTGGGGCGAAAAAAAAATGTATGTGGACAACACCGTGAAATCTTGTCCTCTGGCCAGGCCAAGGGATAGAAAAGACGCACAGACATCAAGAAGGAGTCAAACATTCATTTACTATCTAAAAATAAAGGAAGAAGAAATTAGAGTTTGCAGAAAAATGTACCTGAATACTTTGGGCTTGGGACGCATGAGTGTTCAAAAATGGAAGCAAAAACTTGGCAGTTTTGACAACTCTGTTGAGGATTTCAATTCGAAAGGAAACAACAGGCCTACTACCTATAGGAAACAACAAAATGAAAAAAGAATCCGTTTATAGAGGAAAATGAAAACTTGACCAAATTTCTTGATGCACTGCCTACAATGGAGTCACATTACTGTAGATCATCTTCCTCTAAAAACTACCTGCTACCAGAATGGACTTCAAAAGAGGAATTGTACAGATTTTATAAGACTGATTGGTGCCAAAGAAAATATATAAAATCCTTATCAATTACGAGTTTCAACAAGGCATTTGAATCTAAGAATATGGCACTGTTCAGTCCTAAAAAGGATCAATGTGAAATCTGTGAAAAATACAAAAATGGTTTCATAGGTGAAGAACAATATAACGCTCATATATTAAACAAAAATGAGGCCAGAGCAGAAAAACAAAAGGATGTGGAAAACGAGAAATTCGTATTTTCTGTTGATCTTCAAGCTGTTTTAATGTCTCCTAAATCTAATGTTAGTAGCTTATATTACAAGACAAAATTATGCGTTCACAACCTTTGCTTTTATAATATGCTCAACAAAGATGGCTATTGCTTCTTATGGCATGAAGGGGAGGGTGGACTAACAGCAGAAGAATTTTCCTCATGTTTCTACTCATTTTTGGAAACAAAAGTCATACCAGCAATGGAGATAAGATAACAGAAAGATAATAATGTGGAGTGATGGCTGTACCTACCAGAACAGAAACGTGACTTTGGCTAATGCAGCTTTAAATTTATGCAGAAAAAATGATATTACGCTTGAGCATAAATATTTAGAGGTTGGACATACTCAAATGCAAGTAGATTCCATGCATGCCACAATAGAACGTCGTGTAAATCGAGTAAGGATAAACGTCCCTGCAGATTATGCATACCACTGCAAAAAAGCTAGAAAAAATCCTAAGCCCTATGAAGTAATGTACTTAGATCATTCTTTTTTCCGATCATTCAAAAAGGTGGAAGCTATTAGAAGTATTCGACCAGGGAAAAAGCTAGGAGAACCAAAAGTAATAAAATCATCGAAATTATAAGAGTGCTTGGTATATAATTGTTCAATTTTTATTTGTAGGTAACTGATATTCGGGGCCTAAAATATACACCAGCAGGGGACATCTATTACAAACTTCGGATGTCTGATGAATGGGAATTACTTCCGCAAAGAAAATCTCAAGTTGACATTATTGCCTGGACAGAGTTGGACCATCTGTATAAAGATAATATTCCAATATCTGCCCGAAAATATTCCGACCTCCAAGAAATTAAGTGTACCATTCCAGCAGACTATCACCATTTCTATAATAATTTGCCACACCTGTGAATTATTAGATGTTTCATTTGTTAGATGTTTTGATCATTTTGAATACGCTAAAATAAAAGTTCTAATAAAAATAAAAGTTGCTAACTCCAAAATTTCTCCATTTTTATTCAAATGAACAACTGCCAACTCCATTTTTTGTACATAAAATCTAATATAGTAATTTTTTTCACATCTTTTTCTTGTGAACACATTGAGAATATCAACAAAAACATTCAATTTTAATACCGGCTTGTTTAAATGTACACCTTAGTTGTAAAATCGTTTTTTGTTCCTCCTGTAAACCTCACAAAATGGAGTTAGCAGTTTAACGTATTTAGCCGACGACTTGATGATTGCACAAAATGGTGGTCATGGAATAATGAGTGAGATGAACCCTTTGACAGAAGGCCGAAGGTTGTCAATGTCCGTGTTGAAAGATGGAACGAATTGTGGGCGTGTGCCAACGTTGCCAAATCACTTCAGATGATGTGATTTTCAGAATGTTATGTAAGAAATTGTTAAACCGACCATAGGCAGTTGATTAAACTATATTTTAATTAATGGGAATTTAAATTAACAATTATTAATAATTCGTGAGAAGAGAATTATTAGATTTTGAGTGGAATGAAATTTACTGGTGGAATCGGCCAAAACACAGATTCTATTTATGGTTGTGAAGAGTCGAAATTTGGGGAGATATGTAAGTTCTCCAATTTTTTTTGTAGTATGTACCATGTTACTGGACGTTTCCCTCATCCTATACGTAAACAACAATTAGCAACATCCTCACATACTACTGTAAGTTGAGTCAATTTAATTTCATTTTACACTTTTGTTGCTACTGTTATCATTGTAATTGCAGCTCCTGATGATGATGACAAAGTCCATTGAAAGCTAGACAGAATTAAAAAAGTATAAAGAGTCCTCTTTGCTTAAATTTTGTCGAAGTACCCAACAAAAGGCGGAAGCTTTAATTTTTCACCTAACTGGTCTAGACGACAATGACCACGTCTCAAGTTATATATATATATATATAGATGTTTTAACAAATCAATAAACTGTGGTTAGGTAGGTAATGCATTTGCTTTCTGTGATGTTGAGTGTGTTTGTTGCACATTTTTGCTCATAAATTGTATTTTTTTCAATAAACGTTATTATAGTTAAAAAATTTCAAAAATGATCAAGATCCTCTGAAACGTCAAAAAACCAAAATTGAGCCGTTTTTATTTTTTCGTTTTAATTTTTTTCTCCGCTGCCACTGGACCGATTTCCAAAAACAACCAAGCTTTTTCGTTCTAGGCCTAGTAGTAACCCGGTGTGAAAATTTTATCAAAATCTGACCGATACTTCCGAAGTTATAGAGGAAACGTGGTTTTTCGTGATGTACGAGGGCGATCCGATAAGTACGCCCGATGGAGGCACTATCGCAGGAGAAATTTAGACAGCTACTGTCAAAATTTCAGCGGAATCGGACTCGTGGTTTTCTTTTTATCGTGGGTGGAAGCGGATTTCAGAAAAATAAAAAAAGAGCAATATCGGTCAATCGATTGTTTTTGGAGCAGCGAAATCAAAGGGTGCCGAGTACGCTGACTCTTCTCGAACTGCTGCATCATCCACCATATTCTCCAGATTTCGCCCAGTGCGACTTCTTTTTGTTTCCAATCTCGCCGGGCGCAAATTCAAGTCGAATGAGGATTTAGCGCCGCCACGGAGGCCTATTTTGCCGACCTCCAGAATACGTATTCTTCAGAAGAAATTGCAGCATCACTGGGTCAAAACTATCGAGCTATGTCGAGCAATAAATCGCCACCTTTCCAAAATTTTCGTTTTTCTTTTGCAGGGTTTGAAATGTTTTTACGTACAAAACCGACCAACCGACTTTTTTAAAATTACTGCTGAGAAATGAAGGCGAAATGAAACTCTCTCGTGTAGTGTGTTTATCTTTTGGGTTAACAAAATTTAAATATGAAGTGTTAGACGTTTTTTCTAAGGCATTAAACTACATTATATAGAAGGTGTTTCCTAATTGACTGTCAGTATTTGATGGGGCGATTTTTGGGTCCACTTAAAAACAAAAACATTATACAAGTCCCAAACATCTTAACTTTTCAGATACGCGGTGGCAAAGTTTTCCAAAATGAATCGTTTATTATCAAGATCTGTAATACTACTTTAAATATTTTAATGCCCATTTTGGCAGACGTTGATGGTACGCCACTGGTTTCTTTTTAAAAAATTATTCTTGAAATCCCCTAGGCAAATTTTCGCTTAAAACAATAAAAACCTGCACAGTATCAACACGTATTATTTTTTTAGGTGAAAACTGTCTAAAGAAATTCAAGAGACCAATTCTGCTCAGAACTGGATATAGATTGCAATTTTTTTTAATTTTACCTCCCCGTATCTGGAAGGCTAAATCGTTTAGGAGACACGTTCATGCGAAGATTTCTTCATAAAATGTACACAAAAAATTGACATTCAATTAGTAAACCCCGTATAATCCAAGTCACCTCATACTCAATCTCGATCAACCCTCGATTATTTTATTAAACAACCAAACAATTTAAAAAACTACAATACAACTCGACATTTCATCAACTAAAATTGCCAATCATTAATTTTACATCATAGATTTTCGAATACGGAAAAAACTACAGCTTTTGCCGTAAATAGTAGTATTATCTAATATACATATATACATTTTTTGACAGGACAAACTGACAGACAGCATCAGTCTTCAAGGAAACAACGATACGGCGATAAACGCTGCCAGGCAGCCATCTTGAGGTATTACATACACATATACGCTTAATAAAATGCTCTTTGTCTTGCAGAGGGATTAAGTAATAAGCCTCAGATTTAAAACGTTTTAAAAGAGGGAGGTTTACAGAACAACGGTATATGTCTTGTTTTGTCCAAAATTGAATACAAATGGAATAAGTTCAAGATGCAGCAGATTCTACTAAGCGATTTCAAACAGAAGCCATCAACAATTACTTTACTGTCTCTCTACCAACCATTCTACCTGATGACTTATTTCTTGACACATTTTCAGAACTATACAATTCTACTGGATCTAAATCTTCATATCGTCACATTACACCAGATGACATTGCACAGAAGTTGAAAGAAGTGAGATCGAATGCTGCGGGTATTGATAGTATCACTAAAAATATGTTGAGAAACGTAGTCCTTCCATTTAATACAAATGAATTTCAATGTTTCGCTTTTTTATATCTTCGAAAAAAGTAACTAGATTACTTGAGAATTTCTGTTCTTAAAATGACTTTGAAGGTCAGTTCAAGTTCATCGGCAAAGATATATCTGAGCTTAAAATCGTCCGCAATTAGCTTTTCAGAATTTCCCGTTAAAAATGTATTTGACCTTGATGGGCATAGTTCAAGGTTACAATTTGAGGAATCTTTTCAAACCTTACATTACACAAATTTTCTTTATGAAACGAATTTTTCGAGATATTTCTTCCTTTCTCTACCTTTTGGACACCCTCAAATACACATGGAAAGGTCAAGGTCATGAGTAAAAATATACTCTAACGTAAAATTTTCCGCTCTTTACATCTCATGTTAAAAATAGTAGAGTTCATTTGAGAAAAGTGTCTTGAATGACTTTGAAGGTCAAGGTTCCGTTCAAGGTCACCATTTGATGAGTCTTCTCAAACTTCACATTCACAAACATTTTCTTTATGAAACGAATTTATCGATATGTCGTCCTTTCTCTACTTTCTAAACAGCCTAAATACCCAAGGAATTCAAGGTCAAGGTCATGGGTTAAGTCATACTTCAACGTAAAATTTTCCGTTCTTTACATCTCTGGTAAAAAAATAGAGGTTTCTATTTGAGAAAACTGCATTGACCTTCAAGGTCATAGTTCAAGGTCACGATGAGATGAATAAACTGTACATTCTTACACAAGATGTTTCCTTAGGAAACGAATTTTCGAGATATTTCGTCATTTCTGTACTTTTTGGACGCCCTCAAATACCCATGGAAAAATCAAGGTCAAGCTCATGGGTAAAGACATACTTTAATGTAAAATCTCCCGCTCTTTACATCGCAGGTGTTAAAAATAGGAGTTTCATTTAAGAAAACAGCATTGACCTTCATATGACCTTGACAGTCGCATTCAAGGTCAGGTTGAAAGTCACAATTTCAAGAATCTTTTCAAACCTTACATTATATAAAAATATTCTTTATGAAACGAATTTTTCGAGATATTTCGCCCTTTCTCTACTTTCTAGATACCCTCAAATACCCATGGAAATCAAGGTCTAGGTCAAGGTCATGGGTTGAGTCATACTTCAACGTAAAACTTCCCGCTCCTTGCATTTCTGATGTTAAAAATAGGGGGGTTCATTTGAGAAAAGTGTCTTGACCTTTAAATGACCTTGAAGGTCATAGTCAATGTTGAGACATACTTCAACGTAAAATTTCCCGCTCTTTACATCTGTTGTATCAAAAGTAGGTGTTTCGTTTAAGAAGACTGCTTTGACCTTCAAATGACCTTGAAGGTCATAGTCATAGGTTGTTGAAAAAGTGAACGTTGTTCCCTATGATTCGTGTGAAGCATCTGTTCAGAGCTACAGGAGTTGTGGCTAACACCTTGTTGCTACTAACGACCGCCGTCTTGAAGAATTCTTAAAATCCAATAAATGTTGGTATTAACTGTTCATTTTATATATATTTATAACTATCCGAAACTGCTTAGTAGGATCTGCCGCGCCATTATATAAAATAAGCTAGACTTAAAATACTCTTCGAGGTGCTGCATGGGAAGATTTTAATTACAATTTATTTAAACAAATCGCAAAAATAATACTTGTTAACCGGTTCCTTTTAAGCATTGAAAATGACCATTTCATGGGTTATTCAAACTTCAAATCGCTCATAATTATTCGAAAACGGTCAACCTAAGAAAAAAACTGACTAAGGAACTTTTTTGTTCAGAATGATCGGAGACTTAACAAAGCTATGATAGGATCGACAAAAAAATTGTAATTTACACTAATTTATTCGGAAAACGTCTCCCAAAATCTTTTGCCTCGTCTATGGCGACACAAAACACGATTTAAACACTGACAAACGCACAGATGGCTACCTTGGTACGCTATTCGATTCACAGCTACAGACTTTGAACTCCTCTCTTATTGTTGGCGTTAACAGACGAACATGTTGCTTGACGTTGCCGAAAAACCTCCCCCGCCACACCCGGGAGGAGGGGGATCGTCGTTTTGGTTCCGTCTGGGAGCGAGGATCTTCTGAGATAACTGTCGTTTTTCCGCCTCGTACTCCGAGTGGTCTTTGGTTAGTGCAAGCTGGAATAAAAATAAGAGTTTTTTGATAAAACAATAACGGGTTCTTTAGAGAAATCATTCACTGTGACAGAAGTCACCCTAGTTGTGAGTATAAGTAAATGCCCCAAAATTACAGAATTTTTTTTTGCAACGTCGACATAATTTTTTTTCTTTAACATTCTCACCTGCAATCTATCGGGCAGAATGGTACACGGCAACGCCTCGGGTTCGGACACGTCCACCCTGCTATAAAACAAAATGTACGGCGTTTCCGGCGGTTTCAACCGGCACAGATTCTCCGCCGTTGTTCTGCTGACCGAGCAATCGTTGAATTTGTACCAATCGGCGCCGTCTTTCGCGAACGTGTAGTAATGACCGGAGTCGACGCTAGAACCGCAATGCACCACCGCCGCGTACAGTTCGTACTGGTGGAGGCCGAGCCGTACTTCTCGGTCTAGTTTTACGGCTTGCAGAAGTTTGGTGCGCTGGTGGGACGTGGGGTCGTACCTGAAAAAAAAATATACGACTATATTGACGAAAAACTCAGAGAACCGTCACAGACAGAGCAACAGAAATTACAGGTTACCCCTTACCTAAAGTGTTTAAGCGTAAGTATCAGCCTGGAGGGCGCTTCAACCATCCTGGTAACCCTCTCGCCATCTGTCAACCTCCCGCAAACGTCGCACCTGTACTGATTCTCCCCGCTCAGCTTCTCCGGCTGCAGATAGTAGTCCAACAACGTTTGCACGGATTGGTTCTCGTCGTGGTTCGGAAACGCAAGTTGCAATTCTCTAAAATGATCAGCTCTTTCGCTTTTCGTGCCGCAATCGGCGCAACGCGATACTGTGATGGTACGACCTCCGAACGACTGTTGGACCACTGTCGGCGGACAGATTGCTACTAGAGCCGCAGCTCCTAGAAGGGTAATTTTAGGATCAGTATCTTTTCATTCTCAATACAATGGAAAGAAAATATGTATTCACTAAGGGCCGTATCGTCAATCGTTCCTACCATTGTAGGACGCCTGTATGTCCTCCTTGATCCTCATAGTTTTTCCTGGCCTTCGGAAAGGCGCTCTATTTTGAGGTTATGTTACAAATATCTATCAAATTGTTGATGCTTTTGATTTTTATTATCTGTTTTATCAGCCTGAAATTTCCTATGGTTCAAAAAGACACGGAACAGTAGAAATCTAGAAATATCCCAGCCTTTCTGAAGGAGAGAAAAGACTATGAAAACCAAGAAGGTCATAAAGGCGTGCTAGAATTGTAGAGACGACTGACGATTTTTAAGTAATAGTCGAAGTTCGCGCTTGCGTTGACTGTTCTTCGGATTCTATCTTAACCGTCCCCTAGATCCCTGCCTGTTTATCGTTCCTATAACGATCAAGGTTTGTTCTCGAGGTTATAAGCTGTGTAGGGAGGTTGAAGGGTAATATTTCCTTTGAAGGTTGATATCACATTCTAATCCTGTATCTCCGCTTTTGCTCGAAAAAATATTCTGATTCTTTTTTTTTTGCTGACGGCCCAAAAAATGAATTGAGGTTTTCAAAAAAAGTAGTGTTGAGAAATAGTGAATTTATACATAAAAGGTGAGTTAGTTTTCTGATAAACTGAATATCATAATGTCAAATTTAAACGCATAATATAAATAAAAATGTGGGAATAAACGAGAATAACTGGACTAAGGTCTTTGTTACTCCTTAGGTCCATAAGCTACAATATGTGCAGCAAAAACGAAAATAGTGAGATGGATCGAAAAAAATTAGTAAAAGTAAGTCGCCACCATCCCTGCTTTGTACGGATGTGTCATAGTTTTTTTTTATTTTTCGATAACTTCGAATGCAACAGTATACTTTTTCAATTTTGACAGGAAAGAGCATAAAAATTCCTATAAAATGACGAAAATCGAAAATCAGTATCTTTATTCATTATGGCAAAAACTGGCACCCTTTAACCAATCTGCATATTGCAAGCCTCAAAGATTGTTTAAACGATTCTAAGCACATTGCAGAAAATCAAAACTAATTTTTTTCAACACACAAGGTTTTCCATGTTTTTTGGTTTATTGTGAGCAAAAAAAGGTTCCTATGCACTTTTCTGTAAAGTTGATAGTTTTCACAATAAAAAAACAATATGAACAAACGAAAAGCTTAATGTCGCCAAAGTTCCCAAACATCCATTAACAAAATCGTAAAGCATTTTGTTGCAAAATTGTTTATAATAGGTAAGTGCGCAAAACCCCTAAAATGCTTTAGGATTCTGTTAATGGCTGTTGAAGAGTATTTAGGAATTTTGTAATATTAAAAGTTTCATGTTTACATGTTTTTCGGGGTCGAAAATAAAACGCATTTTCAGCACTTATACACTATATTAAATCGCTTATCTCAACTTTAGAGAAAAGTCCCTAAAAACCTTTCTTGATCAGAATGTTTGCCATGAGTGAAAACAGAACAATTATTGAAATATATAGGATAAATTTTAAAGCAATTTTTTCCACAATTTTGGAACTGGCAAAATACAGATTTGTTTAAGATGGTCCTTTTCTAATATAACTGCAATTAACCGTCACAATACTCTTTTGAGCAGACGCTAAAATACTTCTTGGACAAATACTGTAAAGCTCTGTCGAAAACACATCCTATGCAAAGGATGATTAAGAGTAATGAAAGTGTTTTTCTATAGGCAGTAAATAATAATATTGTTGAGCACTTTGATTATAATAAAGAACTTACACAATCTATTCTTGAAAAACCCTGTATTATATTTCAAATGTCTTAATCTAATACAAAAACTTACCCTCCACAGCCTCCTCTTCACCATTGCCACCCAAATTCTTCTCCTGTTCATGCAGCGTGTCCAGCAAATACCCTAAAAACTCAGAACTGTCATGCTGATGTCCAGGCAGAAAACCTGGAGGCCTCGACAGGTTCAGAATATCATTCGGCGACAAGGAAAACTTCTTTGAATATTGCAACAGCGCAAACAACAGTTGCAGCTTGGAGAATAATGGCAACATGTCCTTGTTGTAAAGCAGCACTTCGTTTCTAAATGTTTTTGTCATGAAAAGGGCCTGTAGGACGCTGTTCATGTAGCAGGTGTTCCCCAAGTTGTTCAACCCGACTTTTCCTATTGAAAATCTGTTTAGCACCAGTGCGTTAGAGCCCGCGCCCCACGGTTCGCAGAGAAGCGTCTGCTTGTAATTTGAGTTTGTACAAAACGGTTGAATGGCTTGCTTTAATGGTTCATAAAGTTCATCGTAGCCAGTAAAATGGTCCATCAAAGCTAGGGACAGATTGACCAGCTCTTGTAAGTACGAAAGGCTTGATTCTGTGTTTTCGTTTTGGAGCTGTTTGCAGACCTTGTCCATCAATGGGATCACCTAAGAAATACATCAGATTTTAGGAAAATTATCCTTTTTTATATTTTAGTGTTATTATGTGTGTTTTGAACTTGTACCAATTTTTAACTGTAATGTGTCTGGTTTGTTTTATTTAGTATTAATGATAAGTACTTTTTTATGCAGTCTTTTTTGACGTATGTCAGTGCTTTTGCATGCCTAACATCGATAAAGTTTATTATTATTAGAACCAGGGAAAAAGTGGCTTAAATAGTTCCTCAGGCTTTCAAGAAGGTCCCATTATATATGGCGATAAAATCATATAACAATTTCAAGAGAGCAACTATTAAGTATTTGTTGGTGATATGTTTGTATGATTTTAATGTGTAATTTCATAGACATTTGCACCATGTTTGTCTTCGATCTCACTTTTACTTTAGTCTTATTAGGTATGTCTTTGAAACTGAAATTTAGCGAGAGATAATAGAAATTTGGAAAAGAAATATCCATCTGCAATTTTTGCTGCCAATGTTTTAAAAACTACATGTCTCTTAATATGTTTCTAATGGTTGACAATTTTTCAATGGGTCCTGTTATGAAACCTAGTGCTTTTCAAATTAGGAGTAAGTTTTTTAAAAATCATTTATTTAATGACAATATTCAACTATAATTCATGAGTGTAAGGTAAAAAAACATAAGTTTAGCACCCTCACAATTTTAATAAAGAATTAGCGACTGATTCCGCGCTTTTTTTCTGTAAAATAAAAAAAATTGGCCCAGTAGCAGCAAAGTTACAGATGGAAACAAAAATTTTGCAAATTCCCTAACTTAATTTTTTCTTGTTTTATTTTCAAGGACAGATCAGTTTTGAAAAATATGACACAATAACTCTTACCTTATGGAAAATCTGTGAACTTTGTTGGCTTCTCGACAGCATATACAATACCACAGGCCCGACACTTTTCCTAATCTTCATAAACATAACTAACTTAAATAATTTCTCAATTGTTGCTAACGTTACATCAACTAGAATATCGTAATGCCTCTCTGCTTCCAAACCTTTCATAAGTGCTAATACTAGGGCACCTAAATTTTCAGTCCAAACACATTTTGTTAACCAATTGCATAACGTAGATAAGGTGTGTTCAATATTCTGATCCGGATAACGTGCATTAAGGATGTATTTAACAGCATTGGGTATATCATGTTCCTTTATCAACTGCAGGACAATGGACATAGCTACAGAAACTTGTTTCGTGGGGTCAGAAATTTCCATAAACAGAGTTCGTAGCGCATGAAAGACATGTTTCTTATCAGAACATTCTTTTGCTAGGATACTCTGTACTTTACGTATGTCTTCGATAAACCTCATGTAAGCCTCTGGATCGTCTGGAATCGGCACTGTTCCCAGACTCGAAACTATATGTATTACATTTTTGTCCTGAATGCCATCTTGCTCGGAGAAGTCCTGGAGCACTCGAAGGATAATCTGCAAGCGTGCCTCCTTGGAAGGGGTCACACATTCTAAAACCTTCTGTTTGACTGCCATTTTTCGCCTAAAAAGGATATAAAAACATCAACACTGAATAATAAGGAGCCTTGACACTGTTTTACCTGCACTCGAACCAAATGGATGACTAAGCTGTTAGGGCAACCTTCCAACGTATCTGAAAAGATATAATAATCGCTGCGAGTGTTTATGCTGTTTATATTTGCAACAAAAACGCATTTCGAGTGCTAAAAATAAACTGCCAAATTTGTGACATTTAACAATACCTCAAAATGGTATCGTACATGAAGAGGTGATTCTGAAACCGACGGCTGAGTTGGACTGACGAATAAAAGCAGTGAATGTGCGAAAAAGCACAAAGCGATATTCATTTTTAGCTATAAAGAGGCAATTACCTTTTCTAGACTGTGCAAAACACGTCACTATCACAACAAATGAACATACAAAATCATATTGAAAGCACTACAAAGTCACTCTATAACACTATGGTAGATTGTATCAATCTGAAATTTAGAATCATCTGGAGTTTCAAAGAAAATTTGCCAATATTTGATATGAATAAAAAACCAAGTGAAAATTCAGGAACAGTAAACTGATTGACATGTGACATCATAAAGAAACGTCTTCGTCCGACATCTAGGGTCAAATAGCTTAAGTTTAGTTTTAGTGGATTTCCGAATTCTCAATACGTAACGAGCACAAGGGGACAAGTTGGGGAACAAGCTAACAACATAGTATGGTCAACAGGGACATGTAATTCTTAATCCAGTGAACGGAATGCCCCCTCGCCGCGATATCATTTTTCCGCTAAACATTTCATTTACAACTGCCAAAGACTCGTTGGCGGTATGGGATGTTGCGACATCTTGTTGAAACCAGGTCCTGCTATGGTAGGCTTCAATTATCATTACTGTTACAGTCTGGCCTTGCTCGTTTTCACTATACTAACTATACTGAATGACTCGTTACGTAACGAGCCTTGTAAGTCAGATTGAATTCAACAAAACTTTGACATTGATCTATGAAATGACAGCAGTAGACAACTTATGATCCTAAAGATGGGTAAAATACAAAAGTTTAGAACCAGATCCGTCGATTATTCAGATTGTAAAGATTCCATTTAACCGTTTGGCCCGAGTAAAATAACATGACACGAACGACAACTATTGAAATGTACGCTACTAGACTCTAGAAGACTATACGTAGCTAAATTTCTCCAATCTCCAATCCTACCCCGGGATAGACATACGTTTTGAAAGTTGACCTTATTTTTGTCACCTGGATTGCGGCGTTGCCAGCTCATCGGACGATTTTACTACCTCTGCTATCACCAGGTCCTTTGACTAAAAATAGTTTGTTTTCGAAGCCTTGGTAAAAGCTTACAGATTTTTTCAGAAACGAATGCAAGTACATAAGAATACTTACAAGAACGTTAGATTGGTACACGTTTCTGTAAATTTCTTTTCATAATAATGTATCACAGGCTGGCGTATGTATCAGACTAGGTTGAATTCAGTAACCGCACAATCTTACATCAAGCATTTGTTTGCAACGCCTACTTAAATAGAATGAAAAAGTATAAAAAAACGTTTATCAATAAAAAAAAATGTAACGTGATACATGGTTGAAGTCGTAGAAAAAGATGCTGTTAGATACAGGGTAGTAGTTTTTTAAAAACACCATAATGTAGTGCCATTAGTTTTCTGACATTTCTTAAAATAAGGTCAGACAAAAATAGAAACGATTTGGCCAAATTTTAGTTTGTCCCAAATACCTCAGTATATGACTAACTTCTCAGTGTATGCAATGTGCGCGAATTATTTAAAAAAGCATAGGGTGTTCTTTTTTATATAACATTCTAGAAAAACAGCAGAGGTAGCAAAATTGTCCGATGAGCTGGCAACGCAGCAATCTAGGTAACAAAAATGACAAGGTCAACTGCCAAAACGTATGTCTATCCCGGGGTAACGAAGGAATCATATAGTACGTCAAAGCGGCAGTTCTCCAACTTTCATTTACATTTTTTAAGGCGTGTGCAACGATTTCGAGAAAAATTTCGCTACGGATAATCTTTTAGAGTCTAGTAGAGTATATTTCAATACTTGTCTTGCGTGGCCATGTTATCTTTACTCGGGCCAAAAAAGGCTTAAAAAGCCCATATTCATGCATTTTAATCACAAATCCAGTGAATGTTCCTCGGCCCTCAACCCTTATCAGTGTCAATGTCAAGCAAGGACATGACGTTGATTTTTAGGTTAGTAGGTAGTATGAAATTTTTGAATTCAATATGTACGTAATTTCTTATCGGTGAATGGCTGTCCATTTTGTTATACATTAAAAATGATTTAGTGATATGAGCTGCGTACGTTTGTTACGCAGTTAAGTGACACACTATCATTTCAGTAGAGTAGAATGGAAAGGCTGGTTAAAGTATGGAAAGTTGGAAAAATTAGTTATTCCAAAGCCTACAAATTACAGAAATATCTGGCAAGTTTACACCATAGGGAACAAGGAAACAACAACACTTTATTGTGCTTAGAACATCCTCCAGTGTATACAATTGGAATCAGAACTGCAAGATATGATAATACCGATATATCCGATCTACAAAAACGAGGTAAGAATGGTCTTTATATTATCTTTCTTGTCAATAATCCTGATTACGTTTCTCAGGCGCAGAATACTTTAAAACAGATCGAGGTGGCCTGATTACATTTCATGGTCCAGGACAACTAGTAGTATATCCAATTTTAAATTTAAAGCACTTCAAACCAAGCATAAAATGGTATGTCAGTAGTATACAGGAAACAGTATTGAAATTGTGTGAAGAATTCAATATTCCTGCCGAGACAAATTCTGATACCGGTGTTTGGGTTGAGGATAGGAAGGTAAAAATATTTTGTTTTAGATTTATTTAGTATGATTGCCAGAATTACATTCTATTTAAAAACTATTTATTTTCATCTCTTGTCTGTTTGCTTAAGATTGAACATTGAAATCTCAAATACCATATATTCACCTATACAAAGATTTGCTTTTTATTTCTCAAAAGTACAAAGAGTATACAAAGCAGAAACGCTGAGAATTTGAGTTTTATATGAAAAAAAAAACATTTCTAAAGTCATCTTTCTAAAAAATAATGTTTTCAGATATGTGCGATAGGCATCCATGGTAGCAAATTCATCACCACCCATGGCTTCGCCATAAATTGCAACACAGATCTCAGATGGTTCGACTACATAGTGCCTTGTGGTTTGGAAGGAAAAGGTGTCACCAGTTTCAGCAATGAAGTTAATAGACTGGTGACTGTAGGTGAAGTTATGCCAAAGTTCTTAGACTGTTTCCAACAAGTGTTTCAGTGTTCTTTGACGGACTTTCCAAGAGATGAAGCAAGGAAGATTCTAGGTAGTTTGGAAGATGATGAAGACTGTAGGGAAGAAGCAGAAAGTATTGATTTCAAAAAAAGAAATGCTGTAGAAGTTATTAAGTAAACTGTGAAATCAAGAATATGCTGTGAAATTGATAATGATGATTAATTGTGAATACTTTTTGTAAGCATGTTTTGCTTTACCTACCTCAAGGTGCAACACAGGTATTTTTGTTTACATATTGCTTTTAAGCTATAGTTTAATTAGTTGTTTTATCTGTAAGTATTAAATGCAAATATATCATTTTAGTGTGAGTATTTTTGTGTTTTTTTTTTATTATATAAGCAGACTCTTGAACCATGAATATTATTCTGGCAATAACGAATTCCACAAATAAGTTTCATGTGTTTCTTAGTCAATTTCATGGTGTCTGTACCGCTCATCGTTTCTACTCTCCTGATACAGAATTATCATATGTTGAATGTAAATTGTCCAATCTTTCTTTGTGCACAAAGATCTGCTATCATGATCACCTAAAAGCGATCAGGTGTGTGAATGGTAGTCCTGTTATGATATTAGCGCGATAGTGAAATCATTATCAAAACCTCTCGTTATTTCTGCAATCCCGATACAGTATTATCAGTGGCTGAAAATCACAGTTGACCGCATTTTCTTCGAGAAATTAGTAGATGCAGCTTTACTATCAGGATCACACAAACAAGAGGGAATATAAATAGCGCTCTGCATCTGTCTGGTACCGACGTGAAATCCTTGGGAACAATACCTGCTTACCATGAGAGTGTTGAAAAAATTGGAATTCTCTGCTGCATTACCTGTTTCCTTTATTTTGATACCTCTCGTTGTTTCTGCGATCCTGATACCGAATTATCAAACACTGAAAACCACACTGTTGACTAGTATGTCTAAGTTTGGTATCAGGATCACAGGAGCGTAAAGAGGTATTATATAAAGTTTGATAATGGCAGGAAATACAAATTTTTCAGGTCAGTACACTTTGTCGTTGAGAATTGATAGTGAGATTTGCTACCAGGATCACAAAAGCGCGAAGAGGTATGTAAACGGTTCGCTGATATTGGCGCAAAATTAGAATCCTTGGCTTCGATACATGTTGTTTCTGCGATCCTGGTATAGAATTATCACTTACTGACACTGTTGACTAGACATTCGTAAAATCAGTATACGTAAGTTTGGTATCAGGATCACAGAAACGTAAAGAGATATTTGAAGAATACCTTGCTCCTGTTTGATAATGACGTGAAATTCGAATATTTCTGGTCATCACACTTTATTGTTGAGAATTCTTGAACATTTGATAGTGAGATTTGCTACCAGGATCACAGAAGCGCAAAGAGGTAAACGGTTCGCTGGTATTGGCGCGAAATTAAAATCCTTGGCTTCGATACATGACGTTCGGCTTCGATACATGTTGTTTCTGCGATCCTGGTACAGAATTATCACTTACTGACCCTGTTGACTAGACGTTCGTAAAATCAGTATACGTAAGTTTGGTATCGGGATCACAGAAACGTAAAGAGATATTTGAACCTTGCTCCTGTTTGATAATGACGTGAAATTCAAATCTTCCGGGTCAATACACTTTGTCGTTGAGAATATTTGAACATTTGATAGTGAGATTTGCTACCAGGATCACAGAAGCGCCGAAGAGGTATGTAAACGGTTCGCTGGTATTGGCGCGAAATTAAAATCCTTGGCTTCGATACATGTCGTTGTTTCTGCGATCCTGATACATAATAAATTATCAGTTACTGAAAATCACACTACTACTTACTTTCGTAAAATTAGTATATATAAGTTTACTAGCAGGATCACAGAAGCCTGAAGAGGTACCTTGCTCCTGTTTGATAATGGTGTGAAATTCAAATCTTTCAGGTCAGTATACTTTGTCGTTGAGAATTCTTGAACAATTGATAGTGATGTTTGCTATCAGGATCATAGAAGCCTGAAGAGGTATGTAAACGGTTCGCTGATATTGGCGCGAAATTAAAATCCTTGGCTTCGATACATGTCGTTGTTTCTGCGCTCCTGGTATAGAATTATCACTTATTGACACTGTTGAGTAGACATTCGTAAAATCAGTATACGTAAGTTTGGTATCAGGATAACAGAAACGTAAAGAAATATTTGAACAATACCTTGCTTCTGTTTGATAATGACGTGACATTCAAATCTTTCAGGTCAGTATACTTTTTCGTTGAGAATTCTTGAACAATTGATAGTGAGATTTGCTATCAGGATCATAGAAGCCCGAAGAGGTATGTAAACGGTTCGCTGATATTGGCGGGAAATTGAAATCCTTGGCTTTGATACATGTCGTTGTTTCTGCGATCCTGGTATAGAATTATCACTTTACTGACACTGTTGAGTAGACATTCGTAAAATCAGTATACGTAAGTTTGGTATCAGGATCACAGAAATGTAAAGAGATATTTGAACAATACCTTGCTCCTGTTTGATAATGACGTGAGATTCAAATCTTTCGGGTCAGTACACTTTGTCGTTGAGAAGATTTGAACATTTGATAGTGAGATTTGCTACCAGGATCACAGAAGCGCGAAGAGGTATGTAAACGGTTCGCTGATGTTGACGCGAAATTAAAATCCTTGGCTTCGATACATGTCGTTGTTTCTGCGATCCTGATACATAATAAATTATCAGTTACTGAAAATCACACTACTATTTACTTTCGTAAAATTAGTATATACATATAAGTTTACTAACAGGATCACAGAAGCCTGAAGAGGTACCTTGCTCCTGTTTGATAATGGCGTGAAATTCAAATCTTTTGGGTCAGTACACTTTATCGCTGAGAATTCTTGAACATTTGATAGTGAGATTTGCTACCAGGATCACAGAAGCGCGAAGAGGTATGTAAACGGTTCGCTGGTATTGGCGCGAAATTAAAATCCTTGGCTTCGATACATGTCGTTGTTTCTGCGATCCTGATACATAATAAATTATCAGTTACTGAAAATCACACTACTACTTACTTTCGTGAAATTAGTATATTTAAGTTTACTAGCAAGATCACAGAAGCCTGGAGAGGTACCTTGCTCCTGTTTGATAATGGCGTGAAATTCAAATATTTCAGGTCAGTATACTTTGTCGTTGAGAATTCTTGAACAATTGATAGTGATATTTGCTATTAGGATCATAGAAGCCTGAAGAGGTATGTAAACGGTTCGCTGATATTGGCGCGAAATTGAAATCCTTGGCTTCGACACATGTCGTTGTTTCTGAGCTCCTGGTATAGAATTATCACTTACTAACACTGTTGAGTAGACATTCGTAAAATCAGTATACGTAAGTTTGGTATCAGGATCACAGAAACGTAAAGAGATATTTGAACAATACCTTGCTCCTGTTCCGGTCAGTACACTTTGTCGTTGAGAAGATTTGAACATTTGATTGTGAGATTTGCTACCAGGATCACAGAAGCCTGACGAGGTATGTAAACGGTTCGCTGATATTGGCGCGAAATTAAAATCCTTGGCTTCGATACATGTCGTTGTTTCTGCGATCCTGATACATAATAAATTATCAGTTACTGAAAATCACACTACTACTTACTTTCGTAAAATTAGTATATATGTTTACTAACAGGATCACGGAAGCCTGAAGAGGTACCTTGCTCCTGTTTGATAATGGCGTGAAATTCAAATCTTTCAGGTCAGTATACTTTGTCGTTGAGAATTCTTGAACAATTGATAGTGATATTTGCTATCAGGATCATAGAAGCCCGAAGAGGTATGTAAACGGTTCGCTGATATTGGCGGGAAATTGAAATCCTTGGCTTTGATACATGTCGTTGTTTCTGCGATCCTGGTATAGAATTATCACTTTACTGACACTGTTGAGTAGACATTCGTAAAATCAGTATACGTAAGTTTGGTATCAGGATCACAGAAATGTAAAGAGATATTTGAACAATACCTTGCTCCTGTTTGATAATGACGTGAGATTCAAATCTTTCGGGTCAGTACACTTTGTCGTTGAGAAGATTTGAACATTTGATAGTGAGATTTGCTACCAGGATCACAGAAGCGCGAAGAGGTATGTAAACGGTTCGCTGATGTTGACGCGAAATTAAAATCCTTGGCTTCGATACATGTCGTTGTTTCTGCGATCCTGATACATAATAAATTATCAGTTACTGAAAATCACACTACTATTTACTTTCGTAAAATTAGTATATACATATAAGTTTACTAACAGGATCACAGAAGCCTGAAGAGGTACCTTGCTCCTGTTTGATAATGGCGTGAAATTCAAATCTTTTGGGTCAGTACACTTTATCGCTGAGAATTCTTGAACATTTGATAGTGAGATTTGCTACCAGGATCACAGAAGCGCGAAGAGGTATGTAAACGGTTCGCTGGTATTGGCGCGAAATTAAAATCCTTGGCTTCGATACATGTCGTTGTTTCTGCGATCCTGATACATAATAAATTATCAGTTACTGAAAATCACACTACTACTTACTTTCGTGAAATTAGTATATTTAAGTTTACTAGCAAGATCACAGAAGCCTGGAGAGGTACCTTGCTCCTGTTTGATAATGGCGTGAAATTCAAATATTTCAGGTCAGTATACTTTGTCGTTGAGAATTCTTGAACAATTGATAGTGATATTTGCTATTAGGATCATAGAAGCCTGAAGAGGTATGTAAACGGTTCGCTGATATTGGCGCGAAATTGAAATCCTTGGCTTCGACACATGTCGTTGTTTCTGAGCTCCTGGTATAGAATTATCACTTACTAACACTGTTGAGTAGACATTCGTAAAATCAGTATACGTAAGTTTGGTATCAGGATCACAGAAACGTAAAGAGATATTTGAACAATACCTTGCTCCTGTTTCCGGTCAGTACACTTTGTCGTTGAGAAGATTTGAACATTTGATTGTGAGATTTGCTACCAGGATCACAGAAGCCTGACGAGGTATGTAAACGGTTCGCTGATATTGGCGCGAAATTAAAATCCTTGGCTTCGATACATGTCGTTGTTTCTGCGATCCTGATACATAATAAATTATCAGTTACTGAAAATCACACTACTACTTACTTTCGTAAAATTAGTATATATGTTTACTAACAGGATCACGGAAGCCTGAAGAGGTACCTTGCTCCTGTTTGATAATGGCGTGAAATTCAAATCTTTCAGGTCAGTATACTTTGTCGTTGAGAATTCTTGAATAATTGGTAGTGAGATTTGCTACCAGGATCACAGAAGCACAAAGAGATATGATGATTCTTCTTAGCTTCAATACTTCTCGTTTCTGCGATCCTGTTACAGAATTATCAATGAAAATCACACTGTTGACTACTAGACTTTCGTAAAATTGGTACATGTAAGTTTGGTATTAGGATCACAGGAACGTGAAGAGGTATGTGCATAGTACCTTGCTCCTGTTTGGTAATTGCTCGAAACTCAAATCCTGTCAATGCCTTTTGTCGTTTCTGTGATCTTGCCATAGCATTATTACTTGTCTAAAAAGCACTGTCGACAAGAAATATTTGAGATGATTCCTTATAGATTTTTAAAGGTTTAATTGGGTAGACAAAAATAAAACAACTACAGGTATAAAACTCAATAATACTATAATGATCAAAATCAATAAAATCCACGTTTGACAAACTACATCGAACCAACATTCTATTCTTCAGCCTCCTCATCTTCGAGTATCCTCTTGAAACTGAACGGTTGGAACATGTACCCCTCGCCTCTGTAGAATTTGCTCATGAATTCGACCCAATGCAACCTGAGGGTGTGCAAAAACGCTGATAGGCCCTCCATCAACACCAAAATGGCGATCGTGAACGCGGCCCATGCCGCAAAGAAGATGAAAATGAACACCGCTCCTACGTAGCCCGGCACCGACAGGCCTTTTTGGAAGATCATGTTCCACAGCACTTCGGATAGCTCTGGAAATTTGTACCGAAAGAAAAATAAAAAGAAAGAAAAATGTAGTACGGGTAATTTTGAAATCAAAGTTATGATAATTAGGAATATAGGGTGATACGTTTATGATTTCGTAATTACAGGACGCATTTCGGACTCAAATTTCGTTCTCTGAATGATACAAATACCGCCTTTTTACCTTTTATAACCTATTATGATGTTTACTTATTTAGTTTTTTTTTTTATGTAAAAAATTTGTTTTTATATATCTATTTATAAGAATTTTTGAATAATATTGTATGGAAGAAACCATGCTGTTTTTAGTTTATATATATATATATATATTGTGTGATAATTCTGTAATTTGTGAATAAATATTCATAATAATTTTTTAAAATATTGTTTGGAAGAAAACATGCTGTTTTTAGTTTATATATATATTTATATATATTTTATGTGATAATTCTGTAATTTGTGAATAAATATTCATAATAATTTTTTAAAATATTGTTTGGAAGACAACATGCTGTTTTTAGTTTATATATATATATTTTATGTGATAATTCTGTAATTTGTGAATAAATATTCATAATAATTTTTTAAAATATTGTTTGGAAGACAACATGCTGTTTTTAGTTTATATATATATATATTTTATGTGATAATTCTGTAATTTGTGAATAAATATTCATAATAATTTTTTAAAATATTGTTTGGAAGAAAACATGCTGTTTTTAGTTTATTTATATATATATTTTATGTGATAATTCTGTAATTTGTGAATAAATATTCATAATAATTTTTTAAAATATTGTTTGGAAGAAAACATGCTGTTTTTAGTTTATATATATATATATTTTATGTGATAATTCTGTAATTTGTGAATAAATATTCATAATAATTTTTTAAAATATTGTTTGGAAGAAAACATGCTGTTTTTAGTTTATATATATATATATTTTATGTGATAATTCTGTAATTTGTGAATAAATATTCATAATAATTTTTTAAAATATTGTTTGGAAGAAAACATGCTGTTTTTAGTTTATTTATATATATATATATATATTTTATGTGATAATTCTGTAATTTGTGAATAAATATTCATAATAATTTTTTAAAATATTGTTTGGAAGAAAACATGCTGTTTTTAGTTTATATATATGCATATATATATATATATATATATATATATATATATATTTTATGTGATAATTCTGTAATTTGTGAATAAATATTCATAATAATTTTTTAAAATATTGTTTGGAAGAAAACATGCTGTTTTTAGTTTATTTATATATATATATATATATATATATTTTATGTGATAATTCTGTAATTTGTGAATAAATATTTATAATAATTTTTTAAAATACTGTTTGGAAGAGAACATGATGCTTTTAGTTTATTTATATAATTTTTAAGTAGTAATTCTGTTATTTGTTAATAAATATTTATTAATAATTTTTGAAAAATATTGTTTAGAATAAACCATGCTATAAATTTGTTTTTGCAGAGTATAAAATATGTAAATTACATGTTACTGCTTTTTCATTTAGAATAATTAGACGGATGCCATTAATATTACACACATCAACAATAAGGAAATCACATTTAAATGACTCTCTATGAAATCATGTAACTTTGCAATGTGCATTCACTTATGTTTTGTTGTAATGACACTATTTATTTAGCTCAAAAAAATCTTGATTTTCTCAGACTTCGTTTTTTTTACACTTCGCTGCAATGTAACTCTTATATCATTACTGTTCCGACTAAAACTCATCAAATTACTAAAAAACAAATGTCACTTGATTTACCAAACACCCTGTTTAAAAATCTCGACCTTTTTTTATCTTACTTCCCAGCCTAGGTATGTAATGTATTATTTTATATTTGTACAACAAAACGTGTCATACCCTATGGGAACAAGAAAGAATGCGTTAGTAAAAGACCCAAAAGCAAAAGTAATGAAAGCAGCACAAATCTCGAAAATACTCTAATTAGTAACATTATTCAACAAATGATAAAATATACACTTGAACGGCACAATCTACTGTTCGCTTTCTTCTTCGTCAAGAATCCGGTTGAAACGGAACGGTACGAAGATTTGTCCTTCGCCCTTGTAGAATTTGCTCATAAATTCGACCCAATGCAGTCTAAGCGTGTGCAGAAAAGCCGACAATCCTTCCATCAGCACCAAAATGGCGATCGTGAACGCGGCCCATACGGCGAACGTAACGAAGATCAATGGTGCGCCGTAGTACCCGAAACGAGGAGCGAACATCAGGATTTTTGGAAGATCATCATCCAAAGCACCTCTGACAGTTCTAGGGTTAGATAGAAGCTGTTAGTAGAGTTAGAATGGAAATGAGCGAATACCAGTTAGAGGAAATTTTAGTAAAAGCAGCAATAGAGGAAAATGACCTAAATCGGACCGTTCTGAAAGTCCATTGTCAAGTGTAAATAGTAGCAAATCAATAAAAGTAAATGGGGGTCCGATTTTGGTCGTTTTCCTCTATAAAAATGTTATGGTAACTTAGCCTATCTGTTATTGAAAAGTAAAACCGAAACAACGAATGGAAGAAACGACAGATACGTACGTGCGTGCGCCAGGGACAATGCCCAAAGTCGAAGGTACGACGCCGTATGTGAAATCGTACTCAACGTGTACTCAATTGTGTGAATGGCTTGATGAATGAAGATTTCACTCATCGGTTCCTCCTCTTCCCCTTTTTCATGGTGCGACGAGTCTCCTTGGTGGTTTTCTGACACTTCCTCCAACTCCATTCCTTGGTTCACGTCGCCGTTCGTTTTATTCTGACAAAAAAAGGGTCAAACCTTGAAGCAGTGTAACTTAGAAACTATTATTTTAATTAATGAAGATGCCCGATTAAAATAGGCATTAGATAGATCAAAAAGAGGTTGAAGATTCTAGTGACATATACAACGTAGAAGCAGAAGCAAACACTGAGTTTTCAAAGTGGATTTAAATTTATTTTTGAGTTCTGCTACTGTCTCACAGATGACGCTAAGATCTGTCAGATCTAACTTCTGGAGTCCCGCAGGGTTCCCACTTAGGTCCGTAGTTATTCAATATATTTATTAATGATCTATTGAGTCAGGATTTTTAGAATTATTGGGAACAAACACGATTCTGAATGTTTCTCATTGGAGTGGAGTGAATGTTTTACTTTTAAATGCTAGGAAATCCTCACAAGGACTAAATATACAGTGTGATCTGTGTGAAATTTATAGGTAAATTTTACGTTTTGAGATATGTTTTAGCAGATCAGCTTAAAATCAATGATAATAAAATTTTGGTTAACATCAAAATATCTTCAAAAATGGCGGATCTGCGAAACGTCAAAGCTGGACATTTTTTCAGACGTTTTACCAAATATGTACACAATTAACCATATATTATATAATGTTAAATTTCTTGTTTTTAGAATATAGGGTGTTCTATTCGAAATCTTTTCCATTTTCGTTGGGACACCTTCACATCAGAGGACGCATAATAATCCTATAATTCGCTTGGTTACTTTTTGATGAATGGTTTCATAAAACTTACTGTAACAGCGGGAGGCTGTTTGTGATTCTTCCTGCTCATCATGATATAAATAGGCTTTCCCAGCAACATGAACGGTATGCAAATCAAGGCCCCGGCGACTAAGAAGTACTGTACACTGCCCTGACCGGGGTACATGTACGTTTCGCAGCCCTCGCGCGGTACAGTTTTGCTCATCAGCATCATGTTGATGAAGTAGATTAGGACTGAAGGTGCGCAGGAACTGCCGTGGACGTTCACGGGGTTTGCGACTGAAAATTGAAGAAAATTCACATTTTAATCTCCCCATCAAAACATATCGAATACTAGGCATGCCAGAAAAAAGGTTTCAAACAAACGTCGTAAAGTGACCTTGACCATGTCCTTCACAGCGAATTTGAAGGACATTCGAAGGTTAAGGTCAATATTTTCAAAACGAATTTTAAAGAAGAGAGAGAAGAGATAATATCCATGGACATAATTCATATTAAGCTCAAGCACAGTTGGATGGGTCGCCCAAAGATTACCATGACCTTGACCGGGACCTTCAAGGTCAAATAAAAAAGGAACCCCTAATTTTTGAACTCGGTATTGGTAAAAGCAGAAAATGTTACGTCTGAATATGATTATAACCCTAAAGTCAAGCTCATGTCAATCTTAAATGTTATTTCTATATGATTTTATATTTGAATGCGTAAAATTTTGACATGACCTTGGAGGTAATAGTCAAGGTCATTATCAAGATCACACTTGAATGACCCAAAAGAACATTTTTAATGAATCAAATTGCTTTCAATGACCTAATTTAACATTGAAATGGATTTGAAGGTCAACGTAATAGTCATAAGTCAAGGTCATATTCGGACGCAAAATTATCTCCTCTCTCCAATTCCGGTGTAAAAAAGGGAAGTTCATTTGAAAATATTCGCCCTTCGTTGAAATGACCTTGAATTCCGGATGCGTCAAATAAACTCGGTAACCATAAAACAAACTCTATCTAGGTTTAGGATCTTTCCGGCCATCTGACGATGACCTGCAATTTAACCTCGGCCTTGAAATTCAAAGTCAATGTCAATTTTAAACGAGGCCCTAAATTTTTTACACCTGAGCAGAAAATCTCACGTCTCAATGAGTCGTTGAACCTTAAAAGGTCATGGTCAAGGTCTAATCCATAAAGTTCTATCAAGGCATAGACTTGGGATTTTTCTCCTTTCAAACGATGACATTGGCTTCCAAGGTCAAACCAAGATCAAGTCAGTTTTTTAATGAGAGATAAATTCTTCTATACTCATGAGTTTCGAGGTTATTCTATCGATTAGATATTTGACCTTGATATACATTTCGAACGTCAAATATTCTTAAAGGTCAAAGACACTGACTTCATTATTAAAGTACATAATTTTTGACAAAAGTTGTAGGACCTCCAGGAGGCAAAATGATGGTGACCTTCAAGGTCATTTCCAAAAGGCAAAATGATCGTGACCTATCAGGTAATTTCAAGGTCCCATAGAAACATTAGAAATAATTTGCTCTACCAAAAATGCACGGTTGCGAGCTTTGTGGAGGTCACCCCAAATGTTTCCTGGATCTCTGACGGTGATTTTGGGATCCAGGTCACAAGGTCACATTCGGACGTAACGCTTCCTTCTTTTTCCAATTCCTCTATGAAAGTCAGGAGTTGCAGCTGAAAATTTTGACGTGACCTTGGAGGTTAAGATCAAGGTCACCTTTGGGGCAAATTTTTTTCAATGTCTTGCCTCCTCTTTATATTCTGGTTTGAAAAAAAGGATTCCATTTGAAAATAATTGCTTGAACTTCGAATGACCTTGATGGTTGTGGTGAAGGTCACCATAATTTTACCCCCTAAGCTCTACAAGTTTGTTCATACTTTTTTTAGAAGGCTCTTAGCTAAGGATTCTACGCTATTTTTTTAGAGCAATGGTTTTTGTAATATGTCTCAATCAAAATCAGAAAATACCAGGGATGCGCTAATGTTTTATGGAGAATAATTTTTCAAAAATACTTACGCGTAACTTGGTCATCGTAAGTTCCTGAGAACATGATCCATTTCATGAACATCATTATCACCAAATACAAAAACAGGAATAACAGTAGCATTACTTGCGGAAGGAATTCTAGAAAAATGCTGGAGTACCTTTTGAAATGCCTGAGAAACAAAATTCGTATTTATCAACCATTCACAGCAATATATACTTGATGTTTACTTACACAAAATTGACAACGCTTACGCAAACTCCGAATATCATGTGTACAACACCGAAAATGATGGAGAGCTTCATCTTGAACGAGTTCAAAAATATGATTTTGTTTTTAGCCATCTGGAAATATAGATATCAATTAGAATAGATTCTTTTTATAAGTATAATTCACCCGCATTTTATATAAACAGTCGATTACATGTATACTATCTCATTTAGGAAGTTTCGCAATTACCGGAAAGTAATGGAAAAACGGAATTGCTCAAATTTTTTCCATTTTTTCCAGTCCTTGTTTGAGGTAGTATTTTAAAACAATCTGCCCACTATTATTTTCACAATGAGGTATTTTCCAAAAACATTTTTTGGTTTCAAATTGAAGTTCTATATCTAAAAATGTATATTGAGTCATTTTACTTTTTTCTTTGTTACAAGAAGTTACAAAAACTCCGCTTCAAAGTTTAAAAATAAAAATTGCCGCCAACTGTGTGACGTAATATCTGGCGTGGCGTAGTAATATTTTCTCCGCCCCCTTCATAGAATGTGACCCTACATGTGAGGATTACAGTGTGACAAGGGGAGGAGATATTCCCATTTTGTTCTACAGAATCGTCCGGAGCTATTCGCGTTCTGTGTCTCTGCTTTTTTGACAGATAATAAGGTTATGATGCATTGTGGCGTTGTTGTTGACGCTTTGGTATTGTGATTTTGCTTGTGCAGTGACTGATTTGGAATTAAGCTTTTTAAATACACAATAAAAATATGGAATAAACTTCGTGAAAGCAGATTCTTCGAATATACCGAAATATAAAGGTTACAAGTGAGGTTAGAAAGCGCACAAGACAAAATCAACAACACAAAGCACGAAACAGAAACATTCTACGCCACTCTGTCACTGTCAACGGTTTGACTCTTGTTTAACCACACTGTTGCCAAACTGTGTCGACGTACAGCTATATATACATATATAGACAGGTACACCATCAGACAAGTCTGTTGATGAGAATAAAGAAGGGCTGCTAAATCGTGAACTTTCATGGAATTCCTTAGTACATAATGGCGCTGAATATGATCACTGATAAAAAAATTGTCACATTCTAATGAGAGCCTTAGAAAAATTGATTCCTATTGGCTGATATCTTCGGAGGTTTAAATGGTCCCACTTTGGTGGTACAAATTTCGAATGTATTTTTTTCAGCAAATGAGTCAAAAAAGCACGAGCAAAGTGTATATTAATTGATAAATGGTTGTAAACAATCTATTTCAGCCATTAATATGACAATATCTCTAAGTTTGAAAATACCACAATATGACGTTTTCTTGCCCTCAGTCACCTGTATTTTTTATTTATTGGGTTTATGCTAACTCTGATTCCACGTACGACGTTATTGACATTTCCAAATTTTAGTTATTTACAAAGGAGGAGGCTTTTTATTGTGAAATACCATCTCAAATAAAGTTAAGAAGAAATAAAAGCTATTTTGGAAAAGTTGGCTGTTTTTCTTATATCTCCGGAAATACTCCGAATTGTGGAACATTTTAAGTGCCATTCACACATTTAAAAACTTTGTTTAAAGTTTCCAAGATCTCAATGGTGAGGATCAAATTTGAAATACCATAATGAAATCTGTTTATTTTTGAAAGACCGATTGATAGGGATAAATTACTTATTAAATTGTATTACTATGGACTTAAAGATTCTACATAACTACTTAAGAAGTCAAAAAAAACCAAATTGGATCTACATTATCCAACTCAAAAAATATTTTCGTTGGTATACCGCAAGGTAGTAAATTGGGTCCACTACTATCTATTATATACATTAATGACGTTTATGCCAATTTAAATTATTGGAAGATTCAGATATTTGCAGATGATACATTAATATATGTGAAAATATTTAAAAATGCTAAATTTTGCCTTTTAAAAATCATAAATTGGTTAAATGGAAACAAACTAAAATTTGTCGAATATAGATTTTACTTGGATGATCTCCGATTTTAACAAAATACTTGCACAACTCACCTGCCAGATAGGATCCACTCCAAAAAGGTACGGCGTCTCTTTATAATTCGTCCTGGGTATCAATTCGTACGCCTCTCCTTGAAGATCGGTCTGATTCACGATTTCCCATTTGGAGCCGAAAATGTTCAGCGATTTCGAAAATATGTCGTTGTAGATGATGCCGGTGTAGAAGGAAAAGACGCCCATCAGCAGGATGATGTATCGACCGGCGAAGAATATTGCGAATATTTCGCTCTTGTTCTTCTGAGCGCCGATCTTCTTTTCGTCCAGGACGAGCCACAGGCCGAAGAAGAACATGATCAATGCGTGGCCGGAGTCGCCGAACATTATCGCGAAGAGGAACGGGAATGTTATTATTGTGTATAGTGCTGAAAATAATAAAAAATCAGAATCGGTTGAAAAACAGGTTGAGTGTACTTCCAACACAAATTAGTCAACTAGACTTTGTATGTACAGGGGTTCGACAAGTTCCGGAACCCCACAATAATTTGTCAACTAATAAAGGTATAAAAAACTAAGCCCCGCGATTGATGAGGTTTTTAATGATGACCTTGGATTTGACCTTGAAGACCAAGTCGATTTTCCAAGTGGAACTCCCCATTTTGACCGCGTACATGAAAAGAGCCGAAAAATTCGTTCAAATATGGTCTTGAAATGTTGACCTTGGAGGTCAAGGTCAAGGTCAAACCCAGGAACTGGATAATGAAAACAAGTAGTCCTATAAGGAAATTAGCGACACATTATTTTCATGATTTCCCCCCATATATTCAATGGTGACCTTGAATTTGACTTTCACCATTTCCAATGTCACATGAAGATCAAATCACTTTTTGTAGTCATGAAACAATCCTGAAAGAAAGTCGATCCTTCTGGGGATTACACAGTTTTTTTTTTTTTTTTTATACTCCAACTACCACGAAGGCCTAAGGCCTAAGCACCCATCGGGTACCGTGGGGCTATAAGGGATACATGGGAAAGGGGGGACGCCACACGGACTCTGGCGAGGGAACACGTGTGCATGCAACATGCACACATTCTGGCTCCGCCTACGAGAACCGCCGGGTGGTACCTCCGCGTTCGACAGTCAGAGACCATCTACCTCCTACAGTTTTTTGAGTTATCAAGAAATTAAGGTAAACGTGTGTTTGGCGTTGATGTTCAAGTCCAAGGTCAATATCTTAAAATGATTAAGGACAGATTCGAACGCAAAATTTTCCCTTTTCTCTATTTTTGCCGTGTTATTCGCGGTCGAAAATATAGGATCCCATTAAAAAATAGTCGACCTTGAAAGTCATATCCAAGGTGACGATTGGATATCAGGAACAAAATCATAAAAATAATGTTTGTTCAGCAATGTTTCCCTATACGACTACTGGTCTTCAAATTATGCCATCGTACCTTAAAAAAAATGACCTTGAGAGTTACTGCCAAAGTCAAATTCAAGGTCACCATTGCATACCCTGGACGAAATCATGAAAATAATGTATGTGTAGTTCCCTTATACAACTACTGGCTTTCAGGTTATATAACCGTACCTGAGTCTGTCCTTAACTATGACCTCCTAAGGTCAAAATTTGAGAATGACCACGACCATATTTGAACATAAAATTTTCCGGTATTTTCATTTATGAGGTCAAAAAGGATCGTTCCACTTGAAAAAATTCGACTTAACCTTCAAATGACCTTGAAGGTCATGGCCAAGGCTAGATCCAAGGTCACCATCAGATATCCGGGGAAAAACACGGAAATAATGTCTGTGTAGTTTGCCGACTGGCTTTCAAGTTATATCACCGTACCTTAAGAAAGAGTTGACCTTGAAAGTCATGGCCAAGGTTACCATTGGATTTCCGGAGACAATCATAAACATAATTTCTGTTTAATTTCCCTATATGTTTACTGACTTTTAAGTTATATCAACGCACCTGAGTGTGACCTTCAAATGACCTTGGAGGTCAAGGTCAAGGTCAAACCCAGGAACTGGATAATGTAACTTGAAAACAAGTAGTCCTATAAGGAAACTAGCGACACATTATTTTCATGATTTCTCCACACATGTTCAATGGTGACCTTGAATTTGACTTTCACCATGACCTTCAATGTCACATGAAAAAAAAAGTCGCTTTTTGTAGTCATGAAACAATCCTGAAAGAAAGTCGATCCTTCTGGGGATTACACAGTTTTTTGAGTTATCAAGAAATTAAGGTAAACGTGTGTTTGGCGTTGATGGTCAAGTCCAAGGTCAATATCTTAAAATGATTAAGGATAGATTCGAGCACAAAATTTTCCCTTTTCTCTATTTTCGCCGTGTTTTTCGCGGTCGAAAATATAGGATCCCATTAAAAAATAGTCGACCTTGAAAGTCATATCCAAGGTCACCATTGGATATCAGGAAAAAATTATAAAAATAATGTTTGTGAAGCAATGTTTTCCTTTACGAGTGCTGGTCTTCAAATTATATCATCGTACCTTAAAAAAATGACCTTGAGAGTTACTGACAAAGTCAAATTCAAGGTCACCATTGCATACCCTGGACGAAATCATGTAAATAATGTATGTGTAGTTTCCTTATACAACTACTGGCTTTCAGGTTATATCACCGTACCTTGAAAAAAGTTGACCTTAAAAGTCATAGCTAAGGTCATCTCTCCAAGGTCACCATTGCATGTCCGATAAAAATCATAAAAATAATGTCTGTGTAGTTTTCCTTTATGACTATTGGCTTTCAAGTTAGATCACCGTACCTGAGCCTGACCTTAACTACGACCTCCTAAGGTCAAAAGTTGAGAATGACCACGACCATATTTGAACATACAATTTTCCGGTATTTTCATTTATGAGGTCAAAAACGAGGGTTCCACTTGAAAAAATTCGACTTAACCTTCAAATGACCTTGAAGGTCATGGCCAAGGCTAGATCCAAGGTCCCCATCAGATATCCGGGAAAAATCACGGAAATAATGTCTGTGTAGTTTGCCGACTGACTTTCAAGTTATATCACCGTACCTTAAGAAAGAGTTGACCTTGAAAGTCATGGCCAAAGTTACCATTGGATTTCCGGAGACAATCATAAACATAATTTCTGTTTAGTTTCCCTATATGTTTACTGACTTTTAAGTTATATCAACGCACCTGAGTGTGACCTTCAAATGACCTTGGAGGTCAAGGTCAAGGTCAAACCCAGGAACTGGATAATGTAACTTGAAAACAAGTAGTCCTATAAGGAAACTAGCGACACATTATTTTCATGATTTCTCCACACATGTTCAATGGTGACCTTGAATTTGACTATCACCATGACCTTCAATGTCACATGAAAAAAAAAGTCGCTTTTTGTAGTCATGAAACAATCCTGAAAGAAAGTCGATCCTTCTGGGGATTACACAGTTTTTTGAGTTATCAAGAAATTAAGGTAAACGTGTGTTTGGCGTTGATGGTCAAGTCCAAGGTCAATATCTTAAAATGATTAAGGATAGATTCGAGCACAAAATTTTCCCTTTTCTCTATTTTCGCCGTATTTTTCGCGGTCGAAAATATAGGATCCCATTAAAAAAATAGTCGACCTTGAAAGTCATATCCAAGGTCACCATTGGATATCAGGAAAAACATTATAAAAATAATGTTTGTGAAGCAATGTTTTCCTATACGAGTGCTGGTCTTCAAATTATATCATCGTACCTTAAAAAAATGACCTTGAGAATTACTGACAAAGTCAAATTCAAGGTCACCATTGCATACCCTTGACGAAATCATGAAAATAATGTATGTGTAGTTTCCTTATACAACTACTGGCTTTCAGCTTATATCGCCGTACCTTAAAAAAAGTTGACCTTAAAAGTCATAGCTAAGGTCATCTCCAAGGTCATCATTGCATATCCGAAAAAAATCATAAAAATAATGTCTGTGTAGTTTTCCTATATGACTATTGGCTTTCAAGTTAGATCACCGTACCTGAGTCTGACCTTAACTATGACCTACTAAGGTCAACATTTGAGAATGATTACGACCATATTTGAACATAAGATTTTCCGGTATTTTCATCTACGAGGTCAAAAAGGAGGGTTCCACTTGAAAAAATTCGACTTAACCTTCAAATGGCCTTGAAGGTCATGGCCAAGGCTAGATCCAAGGTCCCCATCAGATATCCGGGAAAAATCACGGAAATAATGTCTGTGTCGTTTGCCGACTGACTTTCAAGTTATATCACTGTACCTTATGAAAGAGTTGACCTTGAAAGTCATGGCCAAGGTTACCATTGGATTTCCGGAGACAATCATAAACATAATTTCTGTTTAGTTTCCCTATATGTTTACTGACTTTTAAGTTATATCAACGCACCTGAGTGTGACCTTCAAATGACCTTGGAGGTCAAGGTCAAGGTCAAACCCAGGAACTGGATAATGTAACTTGAAAACAAGTAGTCCTATAAGGAAACTAGCGACACATTATTTTCATGATTTCTCCACACATGTTCAATGGAGACCTTGAATTTGACTTTCACCATGACCTTCAATGTCACATGAAAAAAAAAGTCGCTTTTTGTAGTCATGAAACAATCCTGAAAGAAAGTTGATCCTTCAGGGGATTACACAGTTATTTGAGTTATCAAAAAATTCAGGTAAACGTGCGTTTGGCTTTGATAGTCAAGTCCAAGGTCAATATCTTAAAATGATTAAGGACAGATTCGAACGCAAAATTTTCCCTTTTCTCTATTTTCGCCGTGTTTTTCGCGGTCGAAAATATAGGATCCCATTAAAAAATAGTCGACCTTGACAGTCATATCCAAGGTCACCATTGGATATCAGGAACAAAATCATAAAAATAATGTTTGTGAAGCAATGTTTCCCTATACGAGTACTAGTCTTCAAATTATATCATCGTACCTTAAAAAAATGACCTTGAGAGTTACTGCCAAAGTCAAATTCAAGGTCACCATTGCATACCCTGTACGAAATCATGAAAATAATGTGTAGTTTCCTTATACAACTACTGACTTTCAGGTTATATCGCCGTACCTTAAAAAAAGTTGCCCTTAAAAGTCATAGCTAAGGTCATCTCTCCAAGGTCACCATTGCATGTCCGATAAAAATCATAAAAATAATGTCTGTGTAGTTTTCTTTTATGACTATTGGCTTTCAAGTTAGATCACCGTACCTGAGCCTGACCTTAACTATGACCTTCTAAGGTCAACATTTGAGAATGATCACGACCATATTTGAACATAAAATTTTCCGGTATTTTTATTTACGAGGTCAAAAAGGAGGGTTCCACTTGAAAAAATTCGACTTAACCTTCAAATGACCTTGAAGGTCATGGCCAAGGCTAGATCCAAGGTAACCATCAGATATCCGGGAAAAATCACGGAAATAATGTCTGTGTAGTTTGCCGACTGACTTTCAAGTTATATCACCGTACCTTATGAAAGAGTTGACCTTGAAAGTCATGGCCAAGGTTACCATTGGATTTCCGGAGACAATCATAAACATAATTTCTGTTTAGTTTCCCTATATGTTTACTGACTTTTAACTTATATCAGCGCACCTGAGTGTGACCTTCAAATGACCTTGGAGGTCAAGGTCAAGGTCAAACCCAGGAACTGGATAATGTAACTTGAAAACAAGTAGTCCTATAAGGAAACTAGCGACACATTATTTTCATGATTTCTCCACACATGTTCAATGGTGACCTTGAATTTGACTTTCACCATGACCTTCAATGTCACATGAAAAAAAAAGTCGCTTTTTGTAGTCATGAAACAATCCTGAAAGAAAGTCGATCCTTCTGGGGATTACACAGTTTTTTGAGTTATCAAGAAATTGAGGTAAACGTGTGTTTGGCGTTGATGGTCAAGTCCAAGGTCAATATCTTAAAATGATTAAGGACAGATTCGAACACAAAATTTTCCCTTTTCTCTATTTTCGCCGTGTTTTTCGCGGTCGAAAATATAGGATCCCATTAAAAAATAGTCGACCTTGAAAGTCATATCCAAGGTCACCATTGGATATCAGGAACAAAATCATAAAAATAATGTTTGTGAAGCAATGTTTCCCTATACGAGTACTGGTCTTCAAATTATATCATTGTACCTTAAAAAAATGACCTTGAGAGTTACTGCCAAAGTCAAATTCAAGGTCACCATTGCATACACTGGACGAAATCATGAAAATAATGTATGTGTAGTTTCCTTATACAACTACTGGCTTTCAAGTTAGATCACCGTACCTGAGCCTGACCTTAACTATGACCTCCTAAGGTCAAAATTTGTTGAGAATGATCACGACCATATTTGAACATAAATTTTTCCGGAATTTTCATTTACGAAGTCAAAAGGATCGTTCCACTTGAAAAAATTCGACTTAACCTTCAAATGACCTTGAAGGTCATGGCCAAGGCTAGATCCAAGGTCCCCAATGTCTGTGTAGTTTGCCGACTGGCTTTCAAGTTATATCTCCGTGCCTTAAAAAATAGTTGACCTTGAAAGTTATGGCCAAGGTTACCATTGGATCTCCGGAGACAATCATAACAATAATTTCTGTTTAGTTTCCCTATATGACTACTGACTTTTAAGTTATATCACCGCACCTGAGTGTGACCTTCAAATAACCTTGAAGGTCAAGGTCAAATTCAAGGTGACCATTGGATAGCTGGGAAAAACTCCTATCAAACGTGGGGCATCATTTTCCTACCATTATTAGTACACAAATTATCTTGAGATTCCGGGATTTTTGAGTATAAGCTAAAATTCATCAAAATCGATTGAGTCATTTTGGCGTGAAAACGGAACGTACCGACCTTTATGATATTAGCAGGGATGCAGAAAAAGTCCGAGTTTCTCCTTACCTGGGTTTGCCTCCCTGTAGCAAGCGACTCCATAAGAGTCAATAAGATTCTGGAAACCTCTGGTGAATCTGTTAGTCCTGTTGAATGTTGGCGGATTTTCGTTTGTATTTATTACATTCAGGAATGATGGAATTGAGCTGCCGCACGCACTCTAAAACAAACAACATTGTTGAATATACACGATATTTCCAAAACGTAGGACAAAGTTCAATCTTGGGACTATTACGAGTATTTTCTTCCTAGATAATTTTCGCACAAAAAAAATTGTTCAGGTGCACCACAGGGATCTATCTTAGGGCTTCTGTTATTTTAATTGTATATCTCAGATTCAGAAAGAGAAAACGATCTCTAAGGGTTACTTACTGAGCCATCTGCAAGTGCCTTTTGTACAACTGGAATATCATTTGATGGCACCCAACATTCTCCGATAAGGCACTTCTTGGTGACGTCCATGTTGAAGAAGTTCAAAGTATGGTAAATCGCCTTCATTTTGCTGACCATAATGCTCCAATTCTGCAGTTCTTTCGCCACGCTAACCAGTACCCGTTGACGATGGTCTCGAGTTTGATTTAAAACCTACGGTCGAAAGAAAGAACATCGCATATCCCTCTTTTCAGCAGCATGTCTGTGTTTTTCGTCTGTTTCATTGTGAGTGTAAAAATGTTGTCAATTTCTACTTTGCCAAAAAATGCATGTTTGTGCATTTTTATGCATTCTTCCTTGTATAATGAATTTTTAATAAATAATAGTACAGGTCTAAGGTTGTATGGGAATATTACATTTTTATGGAAGAATTACTGTCTCTCTTAAAAAAAATCTTTGGTTTTCTTGAAAATTAAATTTGTTGCAAAATGAGGTTTCAAAAAAATTGTGATAAGAATAAAAGTCAACACCCGTTTCATTCTTCAATTTCAGAGCCGTACTTATATTCGTTTAAAAGTTACGATTGAATAAAGAATGGACAATAGAATGCACATAAATGCAATCTTTGATAAAACAGTTGCTAACATTGATTTTTACTCATCATGAAATAATCAGATGAAAAGTACTTACAATACTACTCCAAACAGGCAGTTGAAAAAAAGGGATATATGACCTTAAAATGCAAGACTACCTGTTGAAAAAATCATTTCCTTTTAGGGCCATATCTTCAGTCGTTCCTCCAATTGTATGATGCCTTTATGGCCTCCTTGATTTTCATAGTCTTTTATCTCCTCCAGAAAATATCTAGACTTCTACTGTTCTGTGTCACGTTGTGAGGTTATGTTTTCTTGTTGAAATTTCAGGCTGATAACAGATGATAAGAACCAATTTTTATCAGCCTGAAATTTCGTAGAAAGCATAACCTCAAAATAACACAGGAACGGAACAGTAGAAATGCAGAAATACATCTGCCTTTCTGGAGGACAGGAAAAACTATGAAAATTAAGGAGACTATAAAGGCTTCCTACAATTGTAGGACCGATGACGATATGGGCCTTAGATTCTAATAATACCGACATTGTATCTGGTGTGCTGCAAGGCTCCATCTTGAGTCCAATTCTCTCTATTATTTACACTGCAGACATTTTAAATAGTATTCAGAACTGTTTTATACAATAAGCATTTCACTTAGCGCCAAACAAAAAAAGGAAATCACGGAGAATCTATAAAAACGATCTGCCTGCACTCGTGAAGCCTCGGTAGCATTTCGAAGGTACTCACAGTAAATTAAAATAAATTGTACAACTCCTATAAGAATGGGTAATTTTCAAGGAGAGCTAAGAAAAACAAATCGCAAGGATAAATTTCAGATAATGTAAGTTGCTAATAAAAAAGTAACAATTTTTTGAATATGTTGCTTACCATGTTGAGATCCTCAAGCCTGGTTCTAACTCCTTTCAACATATCGTTCCTTTCGGGCAGTGTACTGGGACATGGGTACAGAGACGCGTGGAAGCCAGCACATACTTTCTTGATCCTTGTTTTGAGCTGCTCACCTTGGAAAAAGGCAGCGAATACTGTTTTGTAATGTTCATTTCCCTAAAAATGAAGACTGTTTATAAGAATTGCATTGAATGTGAAATTCAAGTAAACATCATTAAAACTATATATCGATACTGCCGTACAGTTCAATTATTGGTTTTTTAAATTTCTACGCCAGTATATTCATTCTATGATTAAAATTACAAAATATATCCTTGATAATGAAAATACACAAATTTTAACCTTGATATCTGATTTACAAAAAGGTTAAATGTAACTCCAAAACCAATAGTACAAACTCCCATAAACCTCATGGAATCCAAAAGTGTGAAAATATACAGGGTGTATCAATTGCAAATTTTGAGCAATCGCTCATTTTACCCTATGAAGTCTATCGTAAAAACTGGAATGTGTAATCATCGAATTCTTCTGAAGGAAAATTCAGTATTCTAGATTTAACAGTTACAGATGTGCGCGTAAAATTGTGTATCTTTTCCGATATATCTCAACAATTTAGAAATAAAACCCTATAGGATGTTATATCAAATAGCTTTGTTAAGTGCCTATCCGAATTTGCAACAAAAAGCATATTTTTTAATTCAACAGAAATATGTTTGAAAACAATTTCCAAGTTAGAAGCATAATTAACTTTTTTAGATACACAAATAGCTCACCCTGTATATACGGATGAGTCTATTATTATTTACTATGAAATGTGAAATGAAAACAAGTTTGTCGTATATGCTAATCATATCTATTATTTCCAGCAGCATATTCATATAACCATGCTTCCGGTTATTTGAGAATGAAAAACAACTCGTGAATATCCTGATATTTCTGCTTCAGCATCAAAACCATCCCAGCTAAGTTAGCCTGCATAACAGTGAAAAAAAGATCAATACTTGAATATAACGCTATTAAGCTACTGTGCTTCTAAAACTTTGTTCAAGGTTCTATGGTTTTATATTATAAAAAAAATATTACTTTTTCCAGTAAAAAAATGGATATACCTACATGTATGTGTACCCTTTAATTTCTCGTAACCTGTTGACCATACGACAATTTCTTATTAAAGAAAAATGATAAAGAATTTAATTCCCTACAAAACTGTTTCTATTACTTTTTTACACAGGGTCGATGGTTTTCGGGGTTTTTGATCGAACAAAAGCTTTAACCACAACAAAAGCATTTCTCACCTTATTAGAGGAAATACTGGATGGTATAAAACCTCTTCCATCAATTTATATTTTTGAAGTCATATGTCCTCTGCATAGAAATCTAAACAAATATCAAACCTCTTCAGAAGTATTTCAATTTTATTACCGTTGTGGGATCCTCCATAGGCTTCTCAATCTCCGCCTGTCTCAAAAACACATTTCCTCTGGAGATTCTCCACAGCATCCTCTCGAAGGCCGGCACTCTCTCTCTGTTGATGACCCCGGCGATGAATCCCAATCTTCCTCTGATCGACCCTCCGACAGCGGATTCCTCGGGAATGAGTTGCTTGTGGGCAGAGTCCGAAAAGCTTGTCGCCGCCTCGTCTTGCTCGTTAAAGAACGTTTGGGTTTTCTCCAAGACGTGTTTGAGCTCGGTGAGTTCCAGAAAGTTGGATTTCAAGTTGACGGCAGACTCGCTCAGTTCTTTTATCTCGCCTTCTGTCTTTTCTAAATGGGCCTGTGAAAAAAATATCAAGGTAGAAGTAAATATGATGCTCACCAGCATCTATTCTCTATACCGGAGGTTCGTTCTACCGAGCACCGTGCAAGTTTTAGCGCGGTTTTCTTCGTTTTGACTGAGATTATACGCACGGAAACGTAGTTCGCAAAAAGATTTATTTTAAGTGAACAGTAAAGTAGTAAAGAATATCGAAATGTAGGGAGTTATTGAATTAGTTTCAGGTTCTTGATAATGTGTGTTCATATCATTTTGTATAAGGAGTAAAAGTTCATCAGCGCAAGCAATTGTCAAGGCAAAGAGGAGCAAATTTTTCGTTCTAACATCATTTTAGCCGTGACCTTGACCAGTGCCTTCAAGGCCATTTCAAGGTTAACTCAAGACATCGAAAACAAATTGCTTTAGCAAAAATGTGCAACATTCCAGTTGGGAGGCTTGTTGGAATAACCCAATGGTGACCCTGATTCTGACCTTGACTATTACGTTCAAGGTCAAGTGAAAATTTGCAGAGAAAACCCCTCATTTTTATACTGGAAATGGTGAAAGCAGGACATTTTACGTCCAAATGTGATTTTGACCTCAAATAACATTTAAGCTTGACACGACCTTGACTTTGAGGTTAAGGCTACATTCGGACGTAACATTTCCTGCCTTTCCCTTTTGCAGTATAAAAATGAGACACTTCCTTTGGAAATTTCCACTTGACCTTGAAGGACATGGTCAAGGTCACCTTTGGGCGATCTCCACATACCTCACAATAATTGCGCTGTCGAACAATTTTGCTAGAACCAATTGTTTTCCATGTATAGATGTGATCTTGAAAAATGTCCTTGAAAACTACGGTCAAGCTCGTGGCCAAGGTGATGTTCGAACGTAAAATTTTGAGAGTCAAGGTCATCTTTGAATGATCTGCACAAGCCCCACAACTGTGCTGTTGAACACTTTCCCTAGAGCAAACTGTTTTTGATGCATTGGTATGACCTTGAAATGGCATTGAAGGCAGTGGTCAAGGTCGTGACCAAGATGATGTTCTGACGTACAATTTACTGTTGTGTTCAACTGTGATGTGACAAAACAGGAATTCTATTGGAAATTTTGACGTGATCTTGGAGGTCATGACTAAGGTCACCTTTGGATGGTCCCCATAAGCTATCGGACAACTAGAGCAAATTGTTTTTAGCAGTCTTGAAATGACATTGACGGTGATGGTCAAGGTCATGGCCAAGGTGATGGTTAGACGTAAAATTGGCTCATCTTTTCAATTCTGATATGAAAAAAAGAGTTCCATTGAAAATTTTGGCTTTAACTTGAAGGTCATGACCTTGAAATGGCATTGAAGGCAGTGGTCAAGGTCATGGCTAAGATGATGTTCTGATGTACAGTTTGCTCTTCTGTTCAATTGTGATGTGAAAGAAGGGAGTTCCATTGGAAATTTAAACTTGATCTTGAAGGTCATTACCAAGGTTACCTTTTGTCATTTCGACAGGCCGCACAACTTGCCGTCGAACATTTTTGCTAAAGCAAATTGTTATAGCCGTCTTGCTTTGACCTTAACTGTAATGGTCAAGGTCATGGCTAAGGTGATGTCCAGATGTAAAATTTGAGCTTCTTTCCAATTTTGATGTGAAAAAGGGGAGTACCATTTGAAAATATCCGCTTAAGCTTGAAGTGACCTTGAAAGCAGTGATCAAGGCCAATGTCAAGGTCACCGTCATCTTGCCCGCTCGAGCCTTTCTTTGTAACTTTTTTCTAGAATGCGCAGTTTTCGAAGTATTAAAGTGGAGAGATTGAAATGTATAGAGATTGTCGTAAAATCATCCGAGATATTATCCCTTGAAGTTTTCCCACATGCTTTATGAGCATCTGGTATATAATATATCCTTATTCGATCTCTGTCAACCAGAAGAGTTCATCCCCCTTTCTATCTAATAAAAGTTCATGCCGTAAAAGGCGACATTGTTGAAGTTGAGTCACATCGTCTCAATTCACAAATGACGGCGTTGTTGAGTATTTTTGTTGTGTTATTACTATTATTAGAGGCTATTCCGTTGATTAGCACATGTAGATAAAGCCAATAATAGACGGTTACTTTATTGAATCGAATATATCTTGACAAGGGCGCACATTAGGGGGGACATTTACTCATTCTATAACATCATCATCTGTAAGGTTTCTATGGCCTATATCAGGGTACAAACTCTATTCAAACCTTTTTCAAACAATTGGAAAAGGTAATTCTAAAAAAAGTTTACCGAAAGTTTAACAGAATACTACGCGTGTCGGTAGTCGAACTATACATAGTACAAACAGTCGGTGTTTGTATATACGTGCGGTTGGGGCATCCAAAATTCCGAAATCAATTTTAAAAATACCAGTACACACTGGACTCACGCGTATCTAAAAATAAACCTGTATTGTTTTGAATTAGTCTGATGTCTATGTCTGACCCAATAAATAGGCGCCCAATAGTGACGCTATGTTTACTTATGTACCTTGGAAATTGTGTAGACACGCTGAAATTTAATAGTTCAGATTTCTGATAGGAAATTAATCTGATACAATTTCGCGTTATTATCTATTAAGGTTGATTTACAAGTGTGTCATTTTGATCTTACTTTATCTTATCTGGAATATAAATCCGTATTGAAGTTAATTATGGTTTTATGGTCTATATAAAAAACAATGCCACGCTAATACCGACATTTTTTTCGTGAAATATATATTTTTAATTTTTTATTGAATGGCGACATCATAAAATCTGATAATGATAATTCTTAACCGAAAGCTTCTGTATCATATTTGAAGAGTCATAACCAACAAACGAAATATTTGGTTTGGTAAACAAAATGTAATACTACCAATAAAAATTTTGGAAGCAGCAACAAACAAAAAAAATATGATGGTAAAATGTATAGGGTTTCACGGCCGATGACAACACAATATCGAAAGAAAATACAATTTGAGAATTTAATAAAATTTGAATTTTGCAATTTAAATTGAATCTGACGATTTCGATATTTTGAAAAATGGCAAATCTTGAAATTCTTGGAAATTTTCAAGCTTGCAAAAATTTTGAAATTTTGAAAAAATTGTTTTTAGAAATTTAGAAAAAAAATGAATTTGAAAATTTCGAAAATGATTGGAAAATTTGCAAATTGGGGAAATAATTCGGAGATAATTTGGGGATAATTCCGATATCTGAAAAAATTACAATTTTGTAAAAAATTGAAGATTTTGAAATTTGGATCCAAAAAATGGGTAAAAGGAGAAACCATTGGAATTGAAAATTTGGAAAATAATTTGAAGATTGAAGATATTTTGAAAAAAATTTGGAAAAATTTCGAAGCTTGAAACGATTTGGAAATATTGAAAAATAAAGAATTTTGAAGAGAGTGAATGTGAAAATTTGAAAAATCGGAAAACAATTTGAAGATTTAGATATTTTGAAAAATGCTTAGAAAAATTTCGAAACTGAAAGGATTTGGATATTTTGAGAAAAATGGTAAGTTTGAAAAAATTGGTAATTTTGATGGAAAATTAAAACTTGAAATTTTGAAATAAATTTGGGTTCAAAAATTGGGAGAAATTGTGAATTTTAAGAAAAAAAATTAAATTTAGAAGTCTGATTAACTTTGAATAATTGAGAATTTGAAAATCTGAAAAGTAATTTGAAGATTGAAGATATTTTGAAAAAAATTTAGAAAAATTTCCAAGCTTGAAACGATTTGGAAATATTGAAAAAAAAAGAATTTTGAAGAGAGTGAATGTGAAAATTTTGATGGAAAATTTGAAACTTTTGAAATTTTGAAATAAATTTGGGTTCAAAAATTGGGAGAAATTGTGAATTTTGTAGAAAAAAAAATTAAATTTGGTAGTCTGATTAACTTTTAATAATTGAGAATTTGAAAATCTGAAAAGTAATTTGAAGATTGAAGATATTTTGAAAAAAATTTAGAAAAATTTCCAAGATTGAAACGATTTGGAAATATTGAAAAAAAAAGAATTTTGAAGAGAGTGAATGTGAACATTTTGATGGAAAATTTGAAACTTTTGAAATTTTGAAATAGATTTGGGTTCAAAAATTGGGAGAAATTGTGAATTTTTTAGAAAAAAAAATTAAATTTGGAAGTCTGATTGACTTTGAATAATTGAGAATTTGGTCAAATAATTTGAAAATCTGAAAAGTAATTTGAAGATTTGGATATTTTGAAGATAATTTGGAAGTTTTAAAAATTTCGAAACTTGAAAAAATTTGGAATTTTTGGAAAAAGAATGAATTCTAAAATTTGGAAAAAATTAAATTTGAAAATTTGAAAAATGATTGAAAAAATCAGAATTTTGGATAACAGTTGGAAAATCTGGACATTTTTAAAAAAAGGGTATTTTTGACAATTAAACACACTTGGAAATTTAAAAGAGAACTGAAATTTGGATTCAAAATTTGGATTAAAAATTTGGAAAACCTTAATTTTGAAAACAAATCAATTTGGAGGTCTGATTAACGTTGAATTTTGAATTTGCACAAGGGTTGATGACGATACAAATAGTTTCAAGATTTGAATTTTTCAAAAAATGGAAACTGAAAAAATTTGGAGATTTTGAAAATTTCGGAGTTTGAAAAAATTTTAAATTTTTAAAAATCGAACCGGGCACTATTGTATAAGAGGCTTACCCTTCTATGGGAGCTCTGGGAGGGTTGACCATTTTTGACTAGTACATACTTTTATTGTCCTTTCGAGAGTAAAAATTAGAAAATAAATTATAATAAAAAAAATTGAAAATACACGTTTAATAGCAAATCCACCTAAAAATTAGAAACTAAATTTCAAATATAGGAGAGTCTGCGTTACTCCAACAATTATGATTAATTGATTTGGAATAAGATCAATACACAAATCAAAACGTTAACAGAAAATTCAATCATATAAAAATAACGTGGATTGCTATTAACTATATTTTCATAATAACTCTAATTTTGTAATGTTACACTACATAATTTACTTATTCACCCAAAATACATGGAGATAAAAGCTACTCCCTTACATGAAATCCTTAGCACTTGGATATTTCTCATGATTTTTAAGTTCCCAGTGTTTGAGATCGAATTTGAAACACTACGTATATTTTTAACCTAATATCCAATTTCAATCAATATTCCGTAAACCTTAATCTTGAAACAACAATGAACGTAATCTATACAACAATCTGAATGAAAAGTACAGTAGCTATACATGTTACTATTTACTCTAACGAGATTGTACACTTGAACAAAATAATTCAAATCCATTCACAAGTCAATCATATCGCGATATGGCACGTTTTCAACAAGTACAAATTAGAAAAATCCGATAAAACAGATTTCGTGACAGTGTACTTAATATTTCCCATCTGATTTTTCGTATCACATTTTGAGATGATAAGGTTATAAAAATAATAGTTATTTATGTATTTAGGACGTGAAATGAGCGCTTTGTAGTTAAATTAGATCCTAAAGTGGGAAGATCCGCGAAACTTGAAAAAAATGAACTTTGAAATTTGGGAAAAAAGTGGATTTGAAAATTTTAAAAATAACTGGAAAAATCGGAAATTTAGATAATATGGATATTTTGACAAAAAAGTTGAATTATCACGCTATGGTATGAAGAACCAAGTAGACCTCGAAATGAAACTTTAAAAAATATGCTCGTAAATATACAATTTATTACTTGGACGTTGAAAAAAAATTTTCCATTAAAAATCCTCACCTCCAAATCGATGATTTCTCTTGGATTCGGCGCTTTTGGAAATTCTCTAACATCAGGAATGTTTACGTTGTCTTTTCTTACTTCGGCTTCGATGTATCTCAATTTTCTTTCCATCTCGTCGCATCGTCGCACCTCGTTGACGAACTTTCTTTGGAAGGCGTTCACGTTTTCGTTCAACTGAAAAAAAAAACACGATAAAACAGCAATCCAGAACAAGCCAAATAATTTAATGTGACACAACATTCAAAAAAGACACAAGGGATGCAATAGAAAATACAGTGGACCTCCGACAAACATTATGGAGGGCAGTGTCGGAATATCGAATTTGTCGGATTAATTGCGTCTTGTGACTTGTGGAGCAGTTGCAATCACGTCGTCGTTATTTTCCTGATTGTTTGTTGTATAATTAGAAACCTCTTTTATAATCTCTTCGTCAGACATATCATGAAAAACATTTTCCTCTCTATCCATTCCACGGCACCAGATTTCCAAATCTTCCGGACTTATCTGTGTTTCAGTAGCGACTTGTTCTATATTCTATAACTTCCGAAGTAACACTGATTTGTGGAACGTTGCTAGTAGTGGTGACTATATCTGGCCATAACTTTTTCTATGTAGGCTTTTCTCATAGTCTTGCCTGACAAACTGAATGATATTCTGATCCATTGGTTGAATCAGTGCAGTACAATTTGGCGGAAGAAACATCGCAGTGATGCGTTTATCCTCAGCTGTTAGTTCTTCTTCAGACGGATGACCGGGAGAGTTATCAAGAATTAGCGAAGATTGTCAAATACGTATGTATGTAATACATATTCAAAGACATGTCGGATTACAGGGGGCGCCGGATTATCAGGGGTCCATTGTAAATGTTATTTTTGGAAGCGGAAGACCATTGACAAATTATAAACTATAAAGAGGAAAATAATATTATCCTAAATTTTCAATTGGATTTTCGAAAAAATTGTAACGCCATCTCTGAAGTATATGATCGATCAAGCATCATGCAACACTTATAACAACACAGCGAGTCCACATCAAGTAAATGACAGGTAGTTCCAAGTCGACATCTTATAGGAAAGCCAACATATATAATGTAAAAGAAAACTGACATAATGTCACTTTTCAAGGTACGTAATATCCTTGCTTCGCTCCTTTTTTGGGAATCGGGGAGTTTATAAATTGTCTAGATAGAATTCATCCTTACATCTCGGAATTGTGAGCAACCTGTCTCACCAAGCTCCGATATCACAAAGTAGGATGCTTCTGGCTGGATGAAAAGTTGGGTTAGAACCATCTCCTCACTCCTGAACATCGCCCCCATGTTGAGGCGGTTTTTTATTCACCTCCTGTAACAAAAGAAAAATGTATCAAGTAACATCGGGATTTTTTTTTATACGAAGTACACGATCTTTGATGTATTGAAGACGAACCTCGGGATTTATACAGCTTTTGAATACCTGTATGTTTGAGGCTCATAACAAATCGTGGTTCTTGAAAGAAAATTTCAACAAGCCGGCAAACCAATCTCTGCGGTAGAAGAAAGCCAGATCTCCGATGTCCCGTAGGTGTGAAATAAGTTTTACAAGCCTCACGCTTATAAAGATTCTAGTAAATTATTGATGACCAAGTTAACCCATTTAACTAAATTTGTCTATTCCTAGATACGTACGCACGGATTTTCTATTTTTTGATAGACTGGAATTTCGGGAATGAAGGAAGAAGCAAACAAAAATGCACCTCAACTTTTGGCGCGTGCACGTAGCCGTAAATTTTACCCACAAATAAACAGAAGGATTATTTCGTTACGAAATGTTTAGCAAACAGAATTTCGTGGGTTTTGAACGAAAGGATAAGGGAAACATATATTATCTGATTTATTTGTTGAGACCGACAGGTCGACGATCTTTTTGATCTCCCACGCAAACCGCAAACATAAAGTCAGTTGCTTTGTTTCCGACGATAAATCAAGTTTAATTCAAACTTAATTTTTTTGATCGGGGAATGGGGATTTTTGAAAAATAGGGTTTATCCCAACAAACTAAATACTGTACAGCAGCTGAAGAACAATATTACGAAGCGACTGAAAATATTCCTCCCGTAATCAAGAGGGCATTTGTCTGATATTATTTTACATACATAATTTCTGAGTTTCAATAAAAGATTAAGTATTTTATTTCATTTCACAAATATTCAAAAAACAAACCAGCCAGTTACATATTCGCCACCCTGTACAATCTCCTGGGGAGTGTTTGTTTAACGTTTAGGCATTACAATGTCTCTGAGTAAGCACATATTATTATATACCTATTATTTAGTTTATCGTTATCGACATATTACCAACCTTCCGATATTATCAATTCTTACTCAAAAACCAAAGGTCGTACGTTAAAACAAGGTTCAATATAAGCAAGATAACCGAAAGAATAGCTGTTGTCAGAGATTTTGTTTGTTTTACACTGATAGGTGAAAATAAACAAAACAGATTCCTATGGGCACTCGAGCCCCTCCTGAGAAAACAGTTGGACCTTAGGATTTGTATACTTAGTTGCATCCAGAAAATTCTAGAATTCTAATTTTAGTATTTCCAGAAAATTTTATTCAAAATACGAATGTAAACAAATAAATCAATATGGGCATAAATTCACAGATGAAAGTCAACATCATTACCATTTGATGTTCGTCATCTATATACAGCACAAGTTAGCAATTATAAATTAAAATAGAATATAAGTGACGACAGATGAACATTACATAATTAGTATGAACTTGAAATAAATAAAAAAATGAATAAAGCTACCGGCACGCGATGTCAGTTTTCATTTAGAATGTCCTTTGGTAGAATTTAATTTCGTTTTATTTGAAATGCAATTGATGTAACGTTTTTTTTCAGTACGGGAAATAAAGATAATTTAGTAGAAACAGACCTTTATTAAACGTGAAAGCAGTTATGGTTTCAATTAATTTTTTTATACAAAATTGATCGAGTCGATTTGTTATTCCGTAAAAATAATTGTAACTGTACGGTATTTACATCGATTTCTATGAACTAAATGAATTTATTTCTTGCTTATTCTGGAATAGTACTGAAATCCTTCACGTTAACAAGCTCATATTTCTATAACTACTAGAAATGCTGATACATCAAAAAATATCATTACAAAACATAAACCCTCAAATAATTACCAGGGAATACGAGCCCGTTCCCACTTCAGTTGGCCCAACTATTGAAATCTTATTTTTCTTATCAATCGTAAATAATAAAAATCTAACAGGGTGTTATAATTTTGAAATATTAACAATGAATATTTTGATAATATATAATAATATAATAATAATAATATTATTTATTCACTCAATGTACAAATATAACAAACAATATGAGTAAATAAATATAAAATCAAAACAGGCCCAATAGAAGGCATCGCCTGTACATGGACCAATAAATTTAAGTTGAAACTGTAGAATGCAAATGACAAAAAAGGACAAAAATTAGCTACAATAGATTATGTATTTAGTTGATGTTCGTATTTATGAGTTTATGAATTTCAGTCCTAGATATAGAATGTAGCCACTTTTTTAAATTTCTTTTGAAACAATTTCCGAAACGTAAATCTTTTAAGTCTTTAAGTATAATTTCATAAAATTTAGGCGCTAAATAGAGATATGATCGCTGCATTATAGATTTATGCGGTTGAGGAACTACTGTGCCACGAATTTTGTACCTGGTATAATGATTATGTTTAATTTTTTGGTCGGTGTTTACAAATTTATGGTAGTGAGTGATACTGTGTAAGAAATAAAGCTGTCTTATATCATCTATTCGAACATCTGCGTATAATTTTTCAGTGGGATAAAGTTTCGGTTTTTTAAATATCATTTTTAGAATACTTTTTTGAAAAACATCTAAATTATAGATATGTGAGGAACATGCAGCTCCCCATGCTAATATACCATATGTGAGATGAGGCTCAATCAGTGCATGGTATAATGTTCGAAGATATTTTTCTGTCAATATATTCCCAAGGTATTTAATTTTGTAGGATACAAATCTAACTTTCTTTAAAATATAATTGACATGGATGTCCCATCGTAAGTGAGGATCCAAGACCACTCCAAGGGCACTCTATTAATTTGCATTTTTTGATCATTAATATTGAAGGAGAAATTTGTGTAATTTGGTAGATGTCTAGCATAAGATCCAAATGGTAAAAAATGTGTTTTAGAGTAGTTAATGCTTAATTTTCTACTGTTAAACCACCGAATAATTTTGATAAAATCATTTTCAATTACATTTTTCAGATCAGACCAGTCAGTGCCTTCATATAATATTGCAGTATCATCTGCAAAACTAGTTATTTTGCCAACACAATTAATTTGGAAAATATCATTTAAATATATATTGAATAACAGCGGACCTAAGACAGTTCCTTGTGGGACACCACACTTAATATACATTTCTTTACTAAATGATCCTGATATCTGCACAGATTGTGGGCGATTTGACAAATAACTTTCGATCAGTGAGTACGCGTTTCCTCTGAAACCAATTCTCTCCAATGCTTCTAATAATAATTTGTGATTAACTGTGTCGAAAGCTTTCTTTAAATCAACAAAAATGCAGATTGAAGGGATTCTGTTATCAATATTTTGATGTATTTGATTTACAATTTTAGTTATTGCGTCCGATGTAGCCTTCCCTTCTGTAAATCCATATTGATTTTCACTTAAAGTTTTGAATTTTGTGAGGTATCGAATCATTCTAGTAGATAAAACTTTTTCAAAAACCTTTGCTACACTGGATATAATTGATATTGGTCTATAGTTGTTAACATCTGTTTTTGTTCCTGATTTATGTATCGGTATTATATTACCTTTTTTTAAAATTGAGGGATGTATGCCAGATTCAAAGCATTTGTTGATTAGGTAAGTGAGTGGTTCTGTTATGTCCTCGGCTATAATTTTCAAATGCTCGCTTTTAATACCATCGAACCCAGGACTTTTCCGATTTTTTAAGGACATAACAGTGGTGTATACTTCACATTGCTCGACTTTATCCAAAATAAATGAGTTCAAAGTTCTTTTTGGAGGCTGAGTATTTTGTACATTTGCTTGTATATTACTTGCTAAATTTTCGCCTATGTCAGTAAAGAATTGTACAAATTCATCGCATATCTGTTGAGTATTTTTTAATACTGTTCCCGATGTTGTATTTAACTCAGTGACACACTCTTTAACTTTTGTTTTCCCAGTAATCTCATCAATAGTTGTCCAAAGCCGCTTAGGATCATTTAAGTTATTATTCAATTTATTTAGGTAATGTTTTCGTTTGGTTTGCCTTACAAGCTCTATAAATTTATTTTTATATTGGTTGTAGCAGTCGGTATTCTCTGTAGTTGGCGTTAGTTTCATTACATTATATAGTCTTTCTTTTTCTATTGCCGATGTTATTAGTCCTTTGGTAATCCAGGCATTTCTGCTTTTCTCTTTGTGACTAATTATTACTTTATTGGTACTAATATCTATTAGCTTTTTATTTTCTCTATGAACAGTCCCGTTGCTTTGTCTATATTATTTATAGATTATAATTGTTCCCAGGATTCTTGTTTGACATTTGATATTAGTTTTGAATTGTCGACAAAAAATTTGTAATTTTCCTGGTTGTTACTAACGGCAGGGATGTTAGAATGTTTTTCATTTGAAGATATCAGTAAAATAGTGGAGAAGTGGTCAGTAATATCGCTTTCTAGGATTATTGGTATACAAGTAACTTTGTTGGGTAGGTCTTTCACAAAGCAGTGATCTATACATGTGCCACTGTTGGACCTTGTAGGTAGGTTTATATAGGACAGAAATCCGTTACTTGATATAGTAGAAAACACCAACTTTATCACTCCATAATAAAATTTAAAGGTTCTACGACAACATCCTGCTCGTACAATCACCGAACTGAGACGAAAGCTTCAAGAAATATGGGATTGTTTTACACCAAATTTTTGCCAAAACTTGGTTAACACTACGCCCCAAAGAATTTCAGCCGTAATAAAAAATAAAGATGATGTTACCCAATGGTAATCTTTCAATTGTTGCTTTGTTAACTTTTATTCGCACATTGTTTATTTGTTCAGATGTTCTATCAGTTATAGGTCTCAGTGATTTCAAATATGTATTTTTTAGGACTAGAGTATAACAAAAATGTTTTTGAGAAAATAAATTGTTTTAGAAGTAAATAGTTTCGTCATGTTTAGTGTATAAAGGCATATTTTGGTACAAATCTTGAAGTGGGCCAACTGAAGTGAGAAGGGGCTCGTTGAGTGTAAATTTCTCTACCAGCATCAGCGTATTTTCAGAGATATAAGATGTAAGAATATCTTCGTCGAAAGTGTGACGAGTCCCTCTTTGGAAAAAAAGGCGTCAAGTAGGTTGTCTCTGAATTTCCTAAGCAACGCTATTATCAGTTCAACACAAGCACTATGAGAAAAAATCGTTACTAACGGGATTATCGGACACTAACAGATAGACCGACGGAAATAAGTGGCATGTCTTTTTGTGATGTACAAGTCATGTAACATCCAAAACACGCAATATCTCATTTCCGTAATTTTTCGCGATTGCAATATTTCTTCGGTCAGTGGCCTGGAAAGTAGAAAGATTGAGACTTTTTTGCTTTACAAACCGAAGAAGTCTTCCTTAAATAAGCGTTAATAGCACCACTATACCATTAAAGCCAAACGCTAAATAGTTAGCTGTGACCCTTGGCGTCAGGCTTAAATGGAAACATCATAAAAAAAGTAGGGAAGCAATATCACTGGTTATTCGGAAGATAGCGCTCAATAAAAAAAATCATAATTTATCTTAGAACCAATATACCTGACAAACCAAACACCGAAACACAAAAATCTCAACCACTCCCCGAGACACAACAAACCGAAAACCAACAAAATCCACCCAAGCCTAATCACATGAGCTGCGAGTCTTGTGACTAACTGATAATGACGATCCTTGACAAATAATAATGCGCGTGACCCACACATCCTTCCTTTAATCGGCAATTATGCATTCAGGACAAGCTGACAAGCTGTAATCATATAAAAGAAATAAATTCTGTCGTACTGACCTTTGCTACAGTGCCTGTCTTGTTACAATGCTTAATAAAGCACCTGCAATAAACACCACGCGCATTTAAGGATAATAACTTCATCGAGATCTTACACGGAGGATATAAAAATAGTCGTACCAATCTTTCAACTAATGGAAACACACAGAGCTTTGAACAACGTATAAGTCTGAGCTTGGAATTGTGCTTAAGGAACCGGCTGCTTCTCGATAACTTTATCAAGATTTGACGTAAAAGAAATAAAATGAGCAGTACCAACCTTTGATTAAACGCGTGTCTTGAGACAACACTTATTAGAGCACCTAGTTCAAACGTCTAAGCTTTGAGTCGCGATACGGGAACTGCCTGTTGCTCGATAACTTGATCGAGACTTGATATGAGCGCTGATCGCGAGGTATCACATGACTTGCGTTCGTTGGTATAATGTATATATGTGTACTTAGCTGAGAGAAGCGGTGGTACTCCAGTCGACATCTAGACAGTGGTACTCGGTTTTCAAAGCTTTTGGTAGTACAGTCGAATGCAGATTTTTCGGCACCTGCCGTAACTTCGGTAGTATAGGAGAAAAAGTAGATCTTGCGATGTTTCCAAAGAAGGAAGCAGATGTGGTTGTAAAACCTCGTAGATATAGCGCTGGGCAGTCATGTTACTTCGAATGAACACTAATCTGCGATGAATCTACCGTTCGATGAAATATTTCACCACGCCTCCTCCTTACAATAAACATGACTGAGTTCCATTCCATATTCCATTCAAGTCTCTCCATACTCCATACCAATCGTTGCCGAGGATGCTGTGCATCTCTTGGCATGATAATGCAATGAAACATTACAAAAAGACTCTTCACAAGTACGGCTCGTGATAGCAAATATGTTTACAAGTTTTTATCAGAATTCAATAAATAATTCTAATTGTTGCATTTTATATGTCACTTAGTACATATCATTTTCTAGAAAAAAAAGAAATGGCCTCAAATAAATTTACTATATACTTCCCTCGAGTTCTACACAAATTCTAGTACAATTTTCCGTCTAGTGCAATGGCAGCAAAACTCCTCATGTGAAACTGCTCGTCAACAACGTTTGATAGCTGATTATACTCGCTTTAATTAGCATTTTTAGTATGAAATTTGATCCTAACTACAGACTGACATTTTGGAGGAAGACAAATCCTAAGGCCATCTGTCACGGTACGGAATTGTGTGCTAAATTTAGTACGTTAAATTTTGTACAAAATTAAGGATAGTGTATGCGGTTTTACTTGTAGATTGAAAAACTTAAAAGATATCATGACAGACAAGCTGCGTTAGATAAAATCAGCATAACTTTGGAACCAATTAGGCTAATAAGCCAGTGGAGGTTCTTTATTCAGCATCTGGATCACACCCATTCCCCGGTCCATCTCCCCGATCCAAATTTTTTAACGGTTTCGTGTACTTCGATTTTTCATGAGGTGGCTAAAAGTAACGTGAAATTGTCATTTAAAACTCTCTGGCATTAGAAAGGCAGGTAAATTCTTTTTTCCTAGGTTTATAGGAATGTCTGTATCATTTGACAAGCGTCAGTTTGTCAAGAGGATTAATTATCTCCGAGTTACGCGTGTTTTTGTAAAGAACCAACAGTGAATTTTTCGATTTTTACAATGGACGTTTTTGTTGAGCATCAAATTTTGTTTACGGAACGAATATTCCATTGAAGATGTTGCGGCAGGCCTTTAGTGATCAAACTATGGCACAAAAAAACGTTTATCAGTGGTACGCCGAGAACGCGTTGAAGACGAACTGCGCTCTCTGGACGACCATCAACGTCTACCGACGAGGACCACGTCCTCCTACAAATCAAAGATTTGGTGTTTGAAAATCGTCGACTGACAATTAGAGGCCTCGCTGGTAGTGTTGGAATATCATTTGGCTCATCCCAAACCGTTGTGAAGGATGTTTTGTGTCTTAAGAGCGTCAAGTCTCGATTGATGCCAAAATCGCTCGATAATTTTGGAAAAACAGCGTCGCGTTGATGTGTGTGTGAAACTTTGCTGTCTCACTATCAGGACCACTTGAAATGCATCATTACCACTCTAAATTTTTTGGGCTTCCCCATTGATTTTTGAATGAGTCAATCGGGATGCACGATGACTTAATTGACACAAACATGGTCCACTGTACCTATTTTTACGTAAAAGTGCAGTTTGAAAGCTTCAAGACGTCGGCTGTGTTGCTTATCATATCTCAGACGACTGGAGTATAATAATTTGTGTATGATGTAGCAATCCGCGAGAGAACCAGCTTATTAACAACCAGCTATGGCATAGCGCTGGCGAGATAAGACCCTGACTGCGTTGCTCTGGATGCGAGAAACAATGACCGCGAACGCAATTCACACGAGGTTGAATCTTGTCACTTGTTACAGATGCACAAACACGCCTAATAGGCTTATGATTCGGATGATCAGGTGACACGACACGGACATTCATCCTGAAATGCCATTTATCTTAAACCGTTACAAAACGTGTTATTAGGTGTTTTATTAATGATGAAGCTGCCATGCCTTTTTTCACAGTTTTCATAATCTAATTATTTGAGGCTTGTTCAATTGAAGCCCATCCTTGGTCCAGAAAAAAAAGTATTGGCAAATATATCTACAAATAATGACCACTACAATTAAGGCACATATCCAATTGTTAAAGGATTCTTTTGGCTGCTGCTTGAAGAATTCTTTTACGAAATTTGTACTTCTTCGTCCGACTGAACATGCTTACCTTTTAGCGCCCAAAGATGTGAAAATCGCAAGGCAATAAATCGGACTATATTATCATTATACTTTGAAGTTGAGTCATTAATTTTCAGATAATGATTGTGGAAGGAAGATAAACCAAAATATGTGTGTAAAAATAAAAAAAAAATTTTACCTTGTTTTATAAAGTACCCTCCCGACAAGTATTTCAGTGCGGACCTGTATTTGATCGTGAGGTCTTGGAGCACCGGCATGCCGTCCATATGTGAGGTCTTAAGTCAAATGATTCACGAACCCGTTGTACTACATTAACAAAGGCACGAGGGGTTGGTTGCACTCGATTGGGAAACCGATCCGCATAAACATGTGCCATCTTTTATTTCGTTTGAGCCACGCAACAGACACCACTATCCACTACCGACTGACACTGACTGTATACAACTGAATGAAATAATTGTAAAAACATCGTTCCAAATTCTTTCGCTTTTTTGTTTCCGATGCGATGAACCGCTAAGGCGAATTATATCCGTTGTCGCCAAACACGAGCACATAATATTATTATTGAGACAGGGCGGTACTCAAACTTCCAAGGGGCTATAACTTTGTTACTTTAATTTTACCAGAAAAATGGTAAAGGAAAAAAACATTTCTTTTGATCAGATCTACTCACTGTTAAAATAAATGACTAAACTTCGAAGTCACCCTGAATATATTTCTTTCGTTGTAGATTTTCTTTCACTACTCTGGTAACATGAGGCCAAGCACTGTAGTGCAGAAGAATGTCACTACGTGAGAGCTGCCCTGGACGTCTTCGTCTTATTGCTTGACGGAGATTGTTTAAAGTTTTTTAAGCTCTATGAGCAAGGGTGCTTCATAGTCTAAAAAAGAAATGTTAACATGACCTTGCCTGAAGAAGGTTGAAATTTAAACTTCCTTGGTGGCCGAGAACTTCATGTTTCCATTGCATCGATGACAGCTTACTGGATGGTTCATAATACTTAAAATCGCAAGCCTTATTTTTTCAAAGGAAAAACGCACTAATATAGAATTTTATTTAAAGAAAATTTATTTTAACCATCAGGATGCTTTGAAACGTCAAAAAACGAAGTTTGCGCGATTTTAATTTTTGTTCAGATTTTTCTCTGAAGCTACTAGACCGATTTTCAAAAACTAAAAAGCTTTTGCATCCTTGGCATGGTAGTAACATTGTGTAAAAATTTCCTTGAAATATTAATAGTCGACATACCGGCAGATCGATAAACAGACATACCTAAATGAGTAACATAGTTTTTCATATAGCATCTAGAAATACAAATCTCAGTTTCGAAAATTTTCGCCATCCTAATACTTCCCCGCCAGTATGAGAACATATGTCAAGCTTTATTAACACTAGTCACAACGCGCGCGTCTCTTCAGGGTATAAAATAAAATGATCCATTTTTTTGAATTGCTGATTCATTTTTAGTTTTTTTCAACATTAGAAATTATTGGAATTTAGAAAAATTGAACTTATTATAGAGCTGCAATAGCGCGTAATTGTGACAATAAGAAATTGCTTCAAATCTATATAATAAAATTATCCTTCGCCAAGATGTTGTACACAAAGCAAACATAAGGTCTAAAACGACAATCCCACCACCAGCTAGCTCATCGTACTGCTCTGTTTGAAAGATCCTTTTATTATGATATCCCCAAAACATATAATGCTGTCCCTAAATACTTAAAATCCATTCTTTTACAAAATGCTACTCCCGGTTTCTGAGATCTCGCTTTAGTAATGAATCATATTAAATGTTTGAATGGCTTATTTTTCGCTTTGTATAATCTCAATATGCGCCTATATGCATATGATTACATCTGTCTCTGATTGTAATTTTTCCTTTTTTCTTTCTGTGTTTGTACTCTGTCAATCTTTCCTTTCTTTCATTTGTATTAGTTGTTACGTCATTGCTTTGAAACTGCTGCTTATATTCAATTGAACATTATTCTTGTATCGGGGGAGAACGGGGGAGTTGTGGCTTTTGTCCGCAGCAGTCTTTCCTGCTCCAGGGATCTTTCTTTGGAATCAGACCGGAAGGACATTCTGTGGCTTCGCCACAACTCCAAAACATCACCCAAATTTATTTGCTGCCTTTATCGCTCTCCCTCGAACCATAACTGGGATGACCTACTCGAATACCTCGCCGTCCAGATCGACTTCCTGAACATCAATCACCCCGCTTCAGAGGTAGTTCTTCTCGGTGATTTCAATGCCCACAATGAGCTTTGGTTGGGCTCAAATAAGACCGATGCAGCAGGTCGTGCAGTCGAAGCGTTCGCTCTTACTCAAGGGCTGACCCAGCTGGTGACGAGCCCTACTTTTTTTCCCTGCGTCTCGTCACACGCCAGTAGCCTGCTGGATCTCTTTCTGACCACGCATCCTGCCCCTTACAGCACTGCCGTCCTGTCCCCCCTGGGTAACTCGGATCACGGTGTTGTGGAGGTTAGGTTTCGGTCAGAAGCCGCTGTGGCCGCAGAAACTCGCACAGGCCGCAAAACTTGGCATTATGGACATGCCGACTGGGAGGGGCTCAGAGACTTCTTCTCTAGCTTTCCTTGGAGAGATGTCTGTTTCACTGACACGGATGCGTCGACTGTCTGTTCTTCAATAACCGAAATTATCCACGTCGGAATGGAGAAATACACCCTCACACAGTGAAAGTTCCCAAACCAGGGTCCAAC